TGTATTTTGTTTTGTTTTTAGTGCATTTTGTTTTGTTTTTCGTGTATTTTGTTTGGAAGTCGGTTTTGTTTTTTTAATAAAAAGTTTATTTTTATTAAAAAAAAATTCAAAAACATGCTGTAATTGACAACTTAGGCAACAAATAAATACACCGGGCGTGCCCTGCAGTGCTAAGATGTTAAAGCGGGCACTACCACTGTGAAAATTAAAGAAGTATGTGGAGAAAAAAAATGATGGTATATTATTAATAGGTGGTAATAATATCGGAACAACAAGCTCAGTTGTTACTAAAAAGTGACACTCAAGGAGGTAGAGGCAAGCAGCCGGTGGAGTGCGGAGATATATTGAATAACAGCGGATGTATGGAGTACCAGCATACTAGCCGCCAGCTCAGTGTCAGCTTCAGGTAATACATACATAGTAAAAACAAAGAAAAATTAAAAAAATTAAAAAAAAAAAAATTAAAAAAATAAAAAATAAATAAAAAAAAACGAAAAAAAAAATAGCAAATAAACTAAAGCTAGATTGTAATATCACATTTAAACTACATTTATAGGAAATATCACTATATAGATGAATTGATTATTTTTTTTTTTTATAAAAAAAGTCGAATTGTAATTTGAATATAAAAAAATGGGGAAAAAATCAAAAAACTTTTCAGAGGTATTGATGAAATAAGAACTTTGTTGAAATAATCAAAATATATGAGAAAAAACGATGTTACTCCAATTTAATAAACATTTTATTTGTAAAAACAAAAAAACAAGTCATTTGACAAAAACATTATGACAGAATTTTTTTGATTAAAAAAACAGACATTCTAAAGGAGTATTTCAACAATCTTATAATATTAAATCGTCATATTAAATTATATTTAAACAAAAAATGGAAGTTAATAAAAAAAATGGACTTTAGTATGGTATTAAAAAAACAATCCAAAGACAAAAATAAGAATAAGTTAATCACATTATAATTTGGCAAACAAAAAAAAGCAAATAAAAAAACAGAAAAAATCTGTATTAGTGCGTTTTTTATTTTTCGTCCAAAAAATAAAATATTAATTAAAAAAAAAATTTTTTTTCAATAAATATATTTTTTAACAATTTTTTTCCAGGAACATGCAACTGCGTAAAATAAAACGTGCGGAAAAGAAAGGGACAGAGAGTGTTATGGATGAGAAACTGACTTTACTCTTCCAGTCTGAGTTCAATGTCGGGGGAGGGGAACTTGTGTTCCAGGTAAAGTATCTTACTAATATTATAAACTAGCTGTTCCCATGCGACTTCATCCGCATGGAATTATGAAAATTTTATTTTATTGTTTACATTTGTCAAATTATCAATAGCAAATGTCAAAATGACTTGACAAACCTTAGCAATATTTCTTTCTTGATGTTGGCAGCAACTTATGGTCTCTTTCCCACATTAGGGTTTTAACACATAGGCTCTTTACGTTTGTTTTTTTTTATTCCACGCGGACGGAGTCACGGACGAAAGCTAGTATATATAAAAAGAGATATATATATGTAATATATATATTTTTCTTACTTTTTTTCTTTTTTCCATTATTTTTACTATTATACTAGCTTTCGCCTGCGACTCCGTTCGCGTGGTATAAACAAAAACAAAAGTGAATAGCCTATGTGTTCCAAACTGTCCTCTACATATATACCAAATTTCATCAAATTCCGTTCAGTAGTTTAGGCTACAAACTAACAAACATCCATCCAAATTTTCACATTTATAATATTAGTAAGATTTTGCATCCCCTTTTTTATTTTAAATTATAATAAATACAATAATAAACAATATTTCAACTTATACCTTATGTATGTATGTATGTTAGGTATGGACATTATCTCTACCCGTGGTGGTGATAGTCCACGGCAACCAGGAGCCCCACGGCTGGGCCACCGTCACCTGGGACAACGCCTTCAGCCCTCCAGGACGGGTACCATTTGCTGTCCCAGATAAGGTATACACCTTTTTGTAATTTATAACGAAACTAAAGAAAAAAATAATAAAAAAATATACTAAAACACTCGGGGGTAATTTATCTGTCTAATGGTAAAGAAATTTTTGATGTAAGTTTAATAGTTTTTTAGTTTACCCGTTACAAATATTACAATTATTTCCCTGAAACTTTTATTAGGAAATCATTAAATGACTATGAAGTCTTGTCATTGGATAACAATTACCGTTAACAGCAATATTTCTTTCCTATTGGCTTGTTTTTGTCCCTTTCTAGCGTTAGTTTCCAATATATTCACCCCATAAATTAAATTGCGTGAAAATATAGCTTATAATCTTATTTAACAGTGGTAGTGCCCGCTTTAAACCACTACCACACAGACAGGTGTGAAGTGGAAGCAATTCCGCGTTTCGTCTGATGAGTGTGGTGCCGGAGGCCTAATTTAAGTCCCTTTCTCTTTACCACCCTTTTCTTAGGAGAGGATGGGAATGAAAAGTGGATTTGACAGTGGAGGGGACGCATAGGAAGGGAAATGTCCTCTTTATGTGCGTCTCCGTCAATGAAGGGTAGGCAGCGCTGCAATTGCGGATGTTTATGTGTAGTCGCTTTCCATTTCGGTGGATTCAGGTCGCTTGCTCGTTTGCCATCTTATATTAAAAAAAATGTATGTTGTAGGTGACTTGGGGCCAGTTAGCGGAAACTTTACGCATCAAATTCGGTTCAGCGACCGGAGGAGATCTCTCCGAGGATAATTTACGATTCCTCGCCGAGAAGATATTCAGGTAAATGATATAACAAACATATTTAAATAATAATTTTAATGAAATTCAAATGTATTGAATAATTTATGTTAATCTCCTTATAAAATAAGTCTTTATCACTTAAAATTCACAACAACTTACCCCCTATTAGGCTATAAGCCCATTTAATTGTGAATTTACCCCTCGTTTTAAAAACCCGCCCTACTAAATCGTTCCCTGAAACTACCATTAACTAAACCTTGTTTAAAACTACCTTTGTTGTTCCCCTCGCACTTTAAAAACCCCATATTATTTCCTTCGTATTTGAAAACCCTGACACTTGGTCCCTCTTACTTCAAACCTCTTACATTATTTCCCTCTTACTTTAAAACCCCTACACAATTCTCATCGTACTTTAAACCCCATAAATTATTCCCCCCATTTTTTTTAAATCCCTACATAATTCCCCTCGTTTTTTAAAAACCCTTACATAATTCCCCTCGTATTTTAAAACCCCTATATAATTCTCATCGCAACCCCCTACATTATTCCCTTCGTTTTTTAAAAACCCCTTCATAATTTCCCTCTTATTTTAAAAACCCTACAATTATTTCCCTCGTATTTTAAAAACCTTACAATTATTTCCCTCGTATTTTAAAAACCCTACAATTACTCCCCTCGTACTTTAAAACCCTCTATTATCTAAACCCTTAACTTTAAACCCCCTACATAGTCCCCCTCGTACTTTAAAAACCACTGACAACTCCCTTTACTTTAAACATTCCCCTCGTATTTTAAAAGCTGACTCTAAGTTATTTAAAGCCTGCCATACAGGAGCATCCTGCCGATGTCTACGCTGGAGCTGAACGCGATGGCGGTGAGCTGGACGCAGTTCTGCAAGGACGCGCTGCCCGAGAGGAACTTCACCTTCTGGGAGTGGTTCTACATGGTCGTCAAAGTCACCAGGGATTATCTGCGCACTTTGTGGTGTGATAGGTATGGCTTCTGTGGTTTTTTTTACTGTTTTTTAAAAAAAAAATAAATAAAGGGAAGTAACATGTGTTTCAGATTATCTGTGTATGCCAAATTTTAGAGAAATCTGTTCAATTTAGGCTACAAATTCTTAGTAAGACTGATTTCTGGAATTAAAAAACTGAAGTCAATGTTCTTCCGGATTATGACAATTGTGTGTGAAATTTAAAGATATAGCCTATTTTACAGATAATGTAGTTTTTTAATAGATTTTTTTAAATTGTCCCAGTAGTTTTTGAGTTTATTCATATAAAATATAAATCTATCCTCTTTATTATATTAGTATACATTAAATGTTTGACTGCGTTTTTGTGTAGAAATAAAAAAAAAATATCCGTTAAAATCTATTCAGCATTTATTTACAGATAAATTACTTTTTTAATGATGAAGAATTGAAATCGTCCCAGTAGTTTTTAAGTTATTTCAAAATATAGGAAAATACAAATCATTCCTCTTTATAATATACTAGCTATTGCTCTCGATTACGTCCGCGCGAAATTAAGTAAATAATAAAAATATGTACCATGTTACTTACAGATAACGTAGCTTTTTTAATGGTGAAATAATTTGAAATCGTCCCAGTAGTTTTTGAGTTAATATATACAAATTTGTTAATATGTAAATATACAAATTTTTATGTAAGAAATGTTCTCTAAAAAATATATCTACGACCACACTGAAGACAGGCGTGAAGTGGAAGCAATTCCACGTACTGATGAGTGTGGTGCCAGAGGCCTTATTTTAGCCCCTTTCTCTTTATCAACCTTATAAGGAGAGGATGGTAAGGGGAAGTAAATTTGACAGTGGAGACGCATAGGAAGGGGAAATGTCCTCTTTATGTGCATCTCCGTCAATGAAGGGTAGGCAGCGCTGCAATTGCGGATGTCTGGGCAGTCGCTTCGCCATTTTGGCGGATTCAGGTGGCCACTCGTTTGCCACCTTATGATAAAAAAAAAATCTTACTAATATTATAAATGCGAAAATTAAGATGGATGGATGTTTGTTAGAGTTTGTAGCCTAAACGGCTAAAGGAATCTCGAAGATATTTGTCATAGATATAGGGGATAGTCCGGAAGAACACATAGGCTAGTCATTTTTGTTTCTTTTTATTAACTGCGGACGGAGTCGCATGCGAAAGCTAGTTAATATATAAGTTTATTTTCCTTTACAGATTGATAATGGGTTTCATACAGAAGAAACAGGCCGAGGAAATGTTAGCGAAGTGTCCTCCGGGAACTTTCTTACTTCGTTTCTCTGATTCTGAACTCGGAGGGATCACTATCGCTTGGACTGGAGGTAACATATTCAAAATACTGATTTACTATATTATAAGGAATAATAGACATTTCTAGTGTGCCATCATTCCGGTAGCGTTAAATCGTGTCAAAGTGTTCGGTACTTTTTAAATTTTTTTTTTTTTTTTTTTTTTTTTTTTTTTTTTTTTTTTTTTTTTTTTTTTTTTTAAGGCCGCCAATAACTCAGGGACTTGGTGTTCGGGTGTAATAATTTTTTCATAAAGTTTTTATTTACAGGGATTCTTAAAATTTAATATCACAGCTTTAATCACTTTTTCTAGCCTACATTACTATCAAATTACATAAAACTAAAATGACTAGAAAATGATTAAAACTTAATACTACATTGTTAAAACATTTTGAGGTTGTAATTGTTATTAGTGGTTGATACTTTGTTCCTTCTAGTTATTCTAAAATTACTTTAAAACAGATAGATTTGGTGTCCCATCAAATAATAATGTTCGCCATCTTGTAACTCTTTTTTTTTTTATTAAAATTCTTTCGTAGTTGCTAAAAATATATTTTGGGTAAAAATCTACCTTTTATTTAGAAACTAGAAGTTTTCGTGCGGCTTCATCCGCATGAAATTATGAAAATTTTATTTTATTGTTTACATTTGTCAAATTATCAATAGCAAATGTCAAAATGACATGACAAACCTTAGCAAACTATCTTTCTTGATGTTGGCAGCTTATGGTCTCTTTCCCACATTAGGGTTTTTGTCCAAAATATTTACCCCCTAAGTATAATGGCGTGAACATATATAGCCTATAGCGTAACGGAAGTGTAGGGCTTTTTATTAAAAATAGGATTATTCAAAAATATGCTGTGATTGCTGACATCTTAGGCAACAAAGAATATCACTTTTAAATTGTTTTTTTTTTTGAGAAAAAATAATTTTATACATATTAGAGTAAAGTATGACATTTCTATTGGAAATATCCCTTTTGATTTTTGACTTTTTTTTTTAATTAGAGGTCCTTGTAATATTCTAAATGATTAGTTGAAATCATAAATAGAATCTTACTCAGAGTCAGAAATAAATAAACGCTAATAATTCTAAAACTTTAAAATAATTCTGCTTCAAAAATGAGAAAAAAAAATTTTAAAAATGAGAAACGTACTTTATAAATAAATTAACACCAGTAATAAGATAAAACCACTACCAAAATGGGATAAATCGGTAGATTTTTTAGTAACAAAAATTTACTCTAAAACTAAGATAAATTTACTCCAATATTGATTACTCCAAAGTTAAAAAAATCTACTATGGAATTTAAATAATCATAACTTATACTAGCTTCGCCCGCGACTCCGTCCGCGCGGTATAAAAACATATGCAAATAGTCTATGTGTTATTCCAGACTATCTATAACAAATTTTATTAAAATCTGTTAAGCAATTTAGGCAACAAACTAACAAACATCCATCTAAACTTTCACATTTATAATATTAGTATGGTTATATTTTTTAAATTCCTCGCAGACGGAGTCGCGGGCGAAATCTAGTTTTACTCTAAAAACGTAACAAATGCACTAATTATCCTTATATATGTGTTCCTTACATTTTTTTTTTATCTGTAGAAGGTAACGAAGTGTTCAGTCTGCAGCCGTTTACTTCCCGCGACCTGATGCTGCGGTCGCTCGCAGACCGCATCCTGGACCTCTCCCAGCTGCAGTTCCTCTACCCCAATGTGGCGAAGGATGATGTCTTCTCCAAGTATTATACTAAACCTGGTGAGTATCGATGTTTGTAAATGTGAAGTATCGATTTCGATTTGTAAGACGTATCGTAGTGGAAATATCGATGTTCGATTCAAATTATTATATAAATCAACTAAAACTGTTATTTTCTTAACTGTTCTCATGAGACATCTGTATATAATTATGGATTTTTTTTTTATTTTTGTCAAATTATCAATAGCAAATGTCAAAATGACATGACATGACTAAACCTTAACAATCTTTCTTTCTTGATGTTGGGTTAGGTTAGGGTTTTTATACAAAATATTTACCCCCTAAGTTTAATGGCGTGAAAATATATAGCCTGAAGCGTGATGTAAGTGTAGGGCTTTTTATTGAAAAAAGAATTGTTCAAAATATGGTGTAATTGCTGACATCTTAGACAACAAAGTGTGTGTTTACGCTTTATTATAATAGTATAGAATTAGAGGACAATTCTAGTGTTATTATATTGTAGAGAATTTAGCGATGACGATGATTACGTACTTGTTTTACTTCACGCAACAAAGTTGTGGATGAAAACTAACAAATAAACCAGATGCAAGTCAAAATACCCGCCATTTTACTTTGACATCTGTCAAAGATTAAAATCATAAATAAAAATCATCAAAGAATAAAAACCAAAGAGTAAGTAACAAAGAATGAACAATGTAAATGTTGTCTCTCAGAGAATGAGATGCTGAAGAATGGTTACGTGAAGCCGGTACTGGTGACCACGTTACCGCCGTACATGTCGCCGTCGCCCGCGTATGCTCACTCGCATTCCCCGGACTCGCATCGCAACACGCCCAGCGTTCAAAGCAGGTATGTATAACGTTAATGCCAGTAAATTTAAGTATTCCAGCAACTGGTTTGGGGTACACATGCCAGTAAACTATGGTAGCAACTGACATATCAGCTACTAGAGCATTGACATTACTTATGCCAGTAAATTATGGTAGTAACTGGCATGTCAGCTATTGGCGTAGTTAGATTACATATGACAATAAAATAGATTAGTAGTTGGGATGCCAGTAACTGACGCAATGTATACACATGTCAGTAAAATGGGATACTAACTGGCATGTCAGCTTCTGACGCAATAACTCATGCCAGTAAAGTAGCTTAGTAACTGGTATGCCAGCTGAAGACACGTGTAGACGCAATGTGTATACATGCCAATAAAATAGAAGCTGCAAGATAGTTACTGGCATGAAATACTACGGTAGCTGGCTTTCCAACTACTGGCATATTGAATCCCTTTGATGTCCTTATAACCAATTATGGCTTAATTTTTTTGTTTTTTTTTTTAACATGACATTTTTCTCTTATAGTCATACCAATATGCTATTTTATCCATTTTTTTATTTTTTGTTGTTTTCATTTTATTTGTAGGTACATGCTTGAGTTTTGAAACTACGCGACGTGAATTTTTTTTTCCAAGATCCTTATTTTTTTAAGTTTAGTTTTAATTTAAGTCACATCCTTTGATTTGGTGGTTTTTTATATTTTTTTTTATTTTTTACTTTAGTTTTTAAGTATCTGTGCTTCCCTTCCTTTAGGTTTAGTATCACGAAAAACAAAACTGAACTCTATTTTTATAGAAGTAAAGTACATTATAACTTAGTTGTATTTAGTTTTAGTTTACGTAAAAAATTAAAAAATATCCTCGAAAAAATTATTTAAGACTGGAAAGTATATCAGAGGTGGTCATTTTTGTACAGTACAAATACTATATGTTAAAAAAATACACTTTTCAACCAATTTTTTTGACTTAACGAATCAAAAATCTACTTATAAATTAAATTTGACATTAATTAAAATGCATTTTTAAACTAACAGTACTTTAAATAGTGAAAAAATCAATTTTTTCAGTTTTAAAAAATGTTCACCACCTCTGGTTTTTATAAGATAACCAAAAAAAAAATGTTTTTTATTCCTTCCAGCTGCGGCACAACTATTTTGCAATTATAAATCAATTGCAAGCAACAATACGAAATGTCAATTTTTTTAAATTTAACGTAGATGTTGTTAAAAAAATTGTAGTGATTTCGGTTAAAAAAGAAAAAAGAAAAAAAAAACAATAAAATTTGTATCAATCTGGATTTTTCCCGTCGTTATGCAAGATGTTAATGTCATTTTTGACAGTTTTTGAACAGTATTGAATAAAAAAATCTTTTGTAACTCGGCTTTTTATGTCTAAGAAAATCAGTATTAATATTTGATGTTTTTAAAATTTAAGATTGCCAACGAACTAATGTTCGTATAGAAATTATTTGGGGAATAGACATAGGAAATATCTCCTGTGTTTGTTTGAGTCTGATTGCTTCGCTATTTTGGCGAATTCTGACTACAAAAAATTGCGAAAAATGTCAATTTCAAAATTACCAATTCGGTTCACATATCTAAAAAATATACTCAGGGTTTAAGCGAGTTTAATAGATTTTTTTTTCTACAAATGTTTTTTACAACTTAAAAAAAATGTTAGTGTCAAAATGAAATTAAAAAGTCAAAAAATCTGCTACTATTTATCTGTAGTCGATCTGTAAATAGACATGGCATTTTTGTTGAAAGAATTACTTTAAAAAAAATATATTTTTTTTAAAACTGATATTTTAAAGATGAACTATTTATTTGTTTGAATAAAATAGGCTTCAAAATGAAGCCAATATTTTTTTTTACTATTTGAAAAAATATCACTGAATAACATAGGATATAATTAATACTAGATTTTTTAATTCCACGCGAACAAAAACCAGTATTTTACTGATCTTTATAATTTAAGAACAGCGAATAACAACGAAAAAAATATTTTTTACAAAATTGAGGAATTTTTATCTACTAATAAAAAACACAGGGTCGGATTTAGTAATTTTTATAATATTAATTACGGCCCTGGACTGACGATGTTGCTATTTCAAAATTAAGTTTGGATTACGACCAAAATTTTATACGAGACATTTAATGTCTTTACTGTTAATATAGATTTTAAAAAAAATATTGAATCTATGGAAAATTTTAATATAGATTTTTTTCATAATAACTTTCCGAGTCTATTCTTTTTTCAAGTATTTTATAGCACATATCTTGTTAGTGTTATTTTTTTTGCTTTTTGTCAAAATTATTGGATTTTTTAAAATATTTACACAGTGTTATTAGATTGTATTTAAAAAATCTTATATCAAAAGTTGAAATATTTGAATACCGTTTTAAATATTAAATAAACAAAAAAATAGTCAAATTTTAAACAGTCAAACCGTCCTTAAATCAAATTACATTGTTAATTCGAAAAAAATGTCTGACCCAGTGAATAAAAGTGAAATTAAATTCTCCTGATCATGTTCGTCTTGTCGATTTCTGTTTTTAATAATAATAATAATAAAGATTCTTTATTGTCAATCATTGATTGAAGAATCAATATTGCTTTGGCTCCTTAACTAGGAATTCCTCTGTTTAAGGAGCCAATGCCTTCCCTTTCAGTTACCTTTTAACAACAAAAAATAAAATAAAAAAAAAAACTTCAAGTATCGCATGAAACCATACAAAATCAAAGAAAAAATAAACCTACTGTTAATTGGTAATAGTAAACTGAAGTTTTATATTTCGACATAAACTACACACTTGTCACTATGTTAAATAAGTCTTTGCGATTTTAAGATGGGTACATCTTTAACTAAACTATTGGACAACTGTTTAGTCTCGCACACAACTCGATGATTAGTTGTGCAACTAAACAGTTGGCTGCGAAACAATCGACAGTAATGCGATAGTTGAGTGAAAGATAAGCGCGTACTCCATAAGATTTAATCGGTACTTTCCGCCATAAATAAACGTCCATAGATTTTTTTTTAAATTGCCAGGATTTTTTTTACATTCTTATTTTGATACGTCTTGTCAAAATAATGTTATAGTAAATAATACTGGTGTTTATTGATATTTATGACTGTTTTTTGTAATTTTTTTAAATTCTATAAAATATACGAAATGTGAAAAAAATGTTCGTTCCGTTTCTGTGTGTTGTTCTTTGACCAATTTTTAAAATGATCTCCTTGCATTTGGTATTTTTAAATAAATAAAATTTATAAGCTGTGAATTCATCTCTTGAAGTTGTCAAAATACCATCGACAATCGAATCTCATTTTATAATGCAAGTCTATGGTTTAAAATATATTTTTTTCTACCGGTACTTTCTCTGAAAGGTAATATATCAGTCAAGTACCGTCTCGTTTTTACTAAACTGTAATAGCTCTCCGACGCGAGAGGAAAGGCTCTCGTGTCGGAGGCCAAGACCCACTTTGGGTCTTGGCAGTAAGTAAGTAAGTAATAGCTCTTACAAAGTGTTTTAAAATTTACAAATTCTGGACTTCAAGAGATATCTACACAACGTTTATTAGAAAAAACATGTAATGCTCGGTTAACACTTGGCTAGTACAGTAGGGTAGTTTACACTGTGCAAGTGCATTTCCAGTCCAGTTATTGATTACTGGCCAAGGGAACCGCGCATTTTTTGTGACGTTTCAAAAGAATTTTAGTCTTAAGTTTATGAAAGAAATATCTCTGATTTAAGAAAGGATGTGACTATTAAAAAAAATAATTTTTAAGATGAAATATATAAAAGAAATATTAATAAAATCGCTCAAAATGACAATTTCGTAGTATTTTTAGATATTCGATTTGATTTTTTTCCAAAAAATTATAGTTTTTTTTTTCTCGAAAAGTATTAATTAGGTATTTCTTTAGCTTATTTTAGTTATAGATTATTTTAAATAACTACCAAGTATCAATTTATTTAAGCATTTGGCCTAATTTTAACGTAATTTTTAAGGTAATTTTCACAAAAAAAAAACTACGGCTGAGGCAATCTAAAAAACATTTTTCTAAATAACTACGCACAAACTTGTAATAACTCATTTTTTTTAATTATACAGTTGTTAAGATTTGATTGTAAAAAATCTCTCATTAAGGTCATGATTGTTAAAACTTTTTGTTATTTTTTAAAAAAAATTTAAGAGCAATGTATTTGTTGAGAATCTAGAATTTACGAAGTTGAAGTAATTGTTAAAACTTGTTGGCGACAACGTTTGCCATCTCTTTCTCTCTTTTGACAAAATAGACGGCGATATCTATGTCCATTTTTCGTTTACGGTTGACTCGCTTTTGCAGTATTTTTAACTCTACATGACAAAACGTAGCTTAAGAACGATTTCGATGTATTTATAATTGAATTATATGTGACATCAGAAAAAAAACGCTTATTATTTAAAAAAAAAAAACTTGTCTTTGATATTTTACTTAATCTTTGACGATAGAAGACAATTTTTTTTTGCAATCCTTCGCGAAAATGCAACACAGACGGTCGTTTTTTCTAATCTGTATTTTCAAATTTCTTTTTTGTATATTTTTTATTTTTTTTTGTAATATTTTTTTTGTTAAAGACGGGTGTATACGCCTTTTGTGTCTGTGCTGCCATTTTGGCGGGGAAATTTAGTTTTTTTTTTTAATGTTAGATGTGTTTTTTTATATTTTTTTTGTCATATCATTCACGACCGTCTAATAATGTGTTGCATTTTCTCTATTTTTTTCCCGATACCCGATGGCTGCTGATATCCTGGAATTGGTAACACAAAAAACATTTTATACACATTAAATGAATAATTAAAAAATCGCAAAAAATCTTTATCCACTATTATTAATCATTGAATCACTTTTTATAATAATACTAACTCTGAACAAATTCATACACGTAAACGGCACATTACAACAATGAAAAATACTATATTAAAAACAAATTTAATCTACAAATAAACATGTTACAACACAAATGTAATCTACAAAAACACTTCAACAACTAACATATTTAAAAAATCAACACTGCATCACAAATATAATTTCCAACTCTTCACAACTAAACATTCAACAAACAACGCTTTACAACATAAATATATACAACACTTTGCAACTCAAATATAACTTACAACATTTCACAACTAACACATTTAACAAACAACACTTTATAACTAAAATATTTAACAATCAACACTCTACAACTCAAATATAATTTACAACAATTTACAACTCGAATATAACTTTACCACACTACAATTCAAATATAACTTACCACACTTTACAACTCAAATATAACTTTCAACACTTCACAACTAAAACATTTTCCAATCAACACATTACAACAATCAGTTACTTCAGCGCGGCGACACCCGCACAGACTGAGAGTAGCTTCATGGATAGTGAGTTGTTCGAACAAATACGTGCGTTCGAACCCGACGGCCTTGATGACTTTGACTTCTACGGCGGCAACATGAGCATGAAATGAGGTTAGTATGTCACTTTATGTATACCAGTGTATCTCAAACTTGTTTTACCCCCCCTCCCCCTTTGAAAATCAATGATCTATCAGCGCCCCCCATTTTTAAACAATTTTTAGTGAAATTTAAAATACTATCTTACTATAAATTTGAAAGTTTAGATGGATGTTTGTTAGTTTGTAGCCTAAACTGCTGACCTATTATTTTGATCCCAGCACAGTTAAGATGTAAGACTAGCTTTCGCCTCCGCCTCCGTCCGCGTGGGATAAAAAAAAAGTAGCCTATGTGGTCCAGACTATCCTCTACATCTATACCAAATTTCATCGAGATCCGTTCACCAGTTTAGGCTACAAACTAACAAACATCCATCTAAAACCACTGTTGTGCACAGAATACGTTTTTTTTTTAAATCACAATAAAGTGTTTTTTTTTAGGTGGTAACCTGGTATTTACCTGTAGTAAGTTTTTTTTTCAATTGCTTCGAGTCAGTTAAATAGCTTTTAAAATTATATAGCACCGTGCCATAGATTCAAAGTCGTATATAGCATATATACAGGGTGATTCTTAACGGACGGATCAACGGTTTTGTGGAGTTAGACCTCATTAGAGCGTCGATGGCTCAGTGTTAGCACTTGACTTGTAATCTACAGGTCTTGGGTTCGAATAGTGTACCAATGTGGTTTTCGATTTTTCGAATTTTCATATGTACATAATTTACTTGACGTTCTTACTGTGAAGGAAAACATCGTGATGCACTTATCTGTGAAGAAATTCAAAGATATGTGTGAAGTCAACCCGCAGTGCAGGTTGACTATGGCCTAGTTACCAACTTAGGGTAGGCTCCGAGCCCCTCGGTGGGGATATATTGAGCTGGTGATGATAATTAACTAATATTTTAAGCGCAAAGCATATTGCCCGATTTTCTTTAGCTTTTTTTCCAAAATAACTGTAAAACTATAGAGTAATATTGCGTTTTAACAATCCCTATTGAGACCCTCTACCACATAAATCCGTTAAGAATCACCCTGTATAACAATATATGTTCGTTATATACCTTAAAATAAGACTAAATGAGTAATTTTGGATTATTCCCAACCGTCACCCCGCTATCCCCACGTGAGAATAAGTTTCTTCCGTCCTACCTTTTAGTCCCACACACAAATAAGGTGACAGGAAACATTATGAGATAAGTTACAACCGTCCCCTCATCGGAATAGTTGGGACGGATGAAGCTTATTTCTCACGTGGGGACAGAGTGGGGTGACGGTTGGGAATAATCTGTAATTTTTAATGACGAAAATACAAAATATGCAGTGATTTTTTATAAGATATATAAATGTATTGACAATTTTGAAAGTTCAAAAAGCACAGTTTAGTCAATACTCAAGCACAAAAAACATATTTTATCTGTATGCTGTCTAAATGTCAAAATTGCCGCCGTTTTTTTCAATCAGTGATTTTATTACGATTTTAATTTTATGACTAATGTAGCAAAATCTACATTTATTTTTATTCAATAACAAAATAGAAATTATTTAGTTATATTAATGTTTGAATTAACATTGATCTGTATAAATGGATAGGTTACTTGAAATGACAACTGTTACTTTTTTCAATTATAGTGTGTCTAAATAATTTAAATTAGTTTGACAATTCATTTCAAATTTAGTAGGGATGGGTTGTGTAATCAGTCATGAATCTTATCGATTTTCGATTTTTATTCTTATAGAAGTTGGAATCGATAGATTTATAGTTATAACTCATGAATAAAAAAAACACTGTTTTCTCAAATTAATAATGACCATAATAAATAATGAGAGTAAATAAATGTTTATTACTACTATAGTACGTAATCAAATTGGATTTCGCTATTATTTCTGTCATCGCTAAATTCTCTACACTATAATCAATACTAGAATTGTCCTTTAAATTAGTTAATAACAAAATAACAGTTTTAGTTGATTTCGATAATTATTTACACCGAACATCGATAGTTCATAATTGTTAGCTGCGTGTTTCGTCACTACGATACCTGTCTATTAAGTACGTCAGCCTTCATACAAATTGAATTCGATACTTCATATGCGTCATTTATCAAACTAATCTATCTTATTTAGACACACTATAGTATCAAGATGGCGAAAGTAGGCATAAAATATCTCTTCCACGTCTATCCATTTATAAAGTCCAATGTTTTTTTTGTAGTTATTTTTTATAGTTCGTTTTATGTATACTATCAATACCAGTATATTTACTTTTTTTTACATAAGTATGTTAAATAGATATTCACAAAGTATAAAGTTTGTACCAAAATGATTTTTTTATCATTTATTTTATTATTTTTTAGTTTTTTGTAAGTATAAATATGTAAACACTACAAAAAAAATGTAGACTTCAGATTGAAAAACGAAAAGAAATTACTGCAGTTAGCTTGAAAACATTTTTACATTTTTTTCGTATTATTTTTGTTTGTAGAAATGTCTATTTAAAAAAGTAACCTGGAATTATACATTTTTTTTGTTAATATGCATTGATTTTTATTTTTGCACTTTTACTAAGTAAACTTTTATAATTCACGCAATCAAATAAAATATATTGTGTGAAGAAACCTTTCCTATGTTTTTTCCTGTTTTTTTATTTTTTTCTATATTTTAATAGTTTTTTTTAACACAAACCTTTATAGTTAAAATAGCTCTACGAATACAAAAATATGTGATACAGAGGCCTTCGGATTTCAAAATTTACGAATACTTTTAGAAAAAACTACAAGAATTTTATTCTTCATTTGTCCTTTTACTGAGGTTGAAGTATTAAATAAAACAAAATGTAATTTCAAGCTTTTATATTTAATAAATATATATATAAAATTGTGCCTTTTTACGGCTGTAAGTGTTACTACTGCACAGACCAACGACAAACCGTCCCTTATGAAATAACCTCTAAAAGTGCCATTTTGGAAAAATTTATAACAGTACAAATGTTGGTCTGTAATTAATAGCTATAAAGTGACGTAGATTTTTTCTAATATTCTATTCAATTATGCAAATATCTTAATAGTTTCTGTTATACTTCATTGTTTTTTTTATAAATCTCGTTACACGCTACGCCTATCTTGTTTATTCGCGAATGTCAGAGTGACATGTCACTTTGACAGCTGTCAATGTCACCGAGTGTCGCCGAGCACAGTTTGTGGATTTATTGATGTAATAAATATTATGATTGTTGGATTTTACGTTTTTTTATTTCAATCTTCCCGACCACTAAGTGTTAAAACTTAGAAGACATACAATTTTTTTGGTAACTAAAACTATAGTTAGTCTGAACAAAATAGATTAGTTTGACAATTCATTTAGTAGGGATGGGTTGTGTAAAATCAGGCATAAATCTTATCGATTTTTGTTATAGAAGTAGGAATCGATAGATTCATAATAATAATTTATGTATTAAAAAAAAAGTTTCTCAAATTAATAATGACCATAACAAATAATGAGAGTAAGTAAATAATTATTACTACTACAGCCGTACATAATCGAATTGGATTTCGCTATTATTTCTGTCATCGCTAAATTCTCTACACTATAATCAATACTAGAATTGTCCTCTTAATTAGTTAATAAGAAAATAATAATTTTAGTTGAGTTTGAAAATTATTTCGTCACTACGATACCTGTCTATTAAGTACGTCAGCCTTCATACAAATTGAATTCGATACTTCATGTGTCATTTATCAAACTAATCTATCTTATTTAGACAAACTATAATACATTTTTATAGCTATACTTTTTAAATTAACTCCAATTACTATTTATGAAATAAATATCTCATACTAATATTATAAATGCGAAAGTTTGGATGGATGTTTGTTAGAGTTTGTAGCCTAAACTGCTGAACGGATTTCGATGAAATTTGGTTTCAGATGTGGAGGAGTACCTCCTTTTGGGAAGTCGGTCAAAAAAAAACAAAAAATAAAAGATTCCATATACAATTTATTTAACAAAAAAACTTTTACACTCTACAACAAGGTTTAACATTTTCCGTCTTGCAACATCTCTTCTCTGTATCCTCTCTCCTCCCCTTCCCTGCTAGAGGACGATCTTTTTCATCCCAAACGACAACTCCGTCACACGCACAGATACGTTTGGGATTTTGGAACACCCCAGCTGACCGGGCGATTATACCACAAGCGACACTGTAAAAAAACCCTTTTTTGTCGAAGACTAGTTGTTTATTGTGACTGTCCACGTGGAATTAATGATGGAAAAAATATAGCCTATGTTAATGATAACGTAGCTTTTTGATGAAATAATTTTTGAAAGCCCAGTATTTTTTGATTTATTTCAATACATATAAAAATACAAAAATTACGATTTCTTTTTATAATTTTAGTGTAAATAACCTACATAAGAGAAAAATGACCCTAAATTTCGTCGCGCGATTTTGAGCTAAACTATTTAACTACGTCGTAGTCTTTGACTCCAAAAATCAAACAAAAAAATGGGACCCACCTGCAAGCATTACGTTTCGAATAAAAAAAAGAATTATCAAAATCGGTCCACTAGCGGCGGAGTTATGCCGTAACACATACAAAAAAACACAGACGAATTGAGTACCTCCTTTTGGGAGTTCGGTCAAAAAGACAGAGGAAAGATTTATAATTTTGTATGTTATAAAATAACACAAAAATACTGGACCGATTTAAATAATTCTTAATTAAAAAGCTAGGTTATCAGTAAGTAACATAGGCTATATTTTTATTATTTTTCAATTTCACGCGGTCGAAGTCGCGACCAAGCTATTTATAAAATACTAGCTGTTCCCATGCGACTTCATCCGCATAGAATTATAAATATTTCGTTTTAATGTTTACATCTGTCAAATTACCAATTGCAAATGTCAAAATGACATGACATGTTGACAACCTTGCTTTCTTGATGTTGGCAGCTACTTATGGTCTATTTCCCACATTAGGGATTTTATCCAAAATATTTACTCCCTAAGTTTAATGGTGTGAAAATATATAGCCTAAAGCGTGACGTAAGTGTAGGGATTTTTATTAAAGAAAGAATTATTCAAAAATATATTGTAATTGCTGACATCTTAAGCAACAAAGAAGTGTGTTTACGCTTTATTATATTAGTATAGATATAAAAATTCAGCAACACAGCACACATAAACACGAAATGTATGTTTGTCAGTTTATCTAGAAGATATACTTACGGATTACCGCTATCACCATTTACTCTTGATTCAGGAGACGACCCTCGACCCAAGTCGTCTCTACGTTCAGTAACCGCTACCGATCTGCCTATTATATCCCATACCTAAGAGAAATCTATTTATAAACCTCGATAACATTACTAAAATAATAAAAAAAAAATACGTAAAAAAACTACATCAATAAAGCCATTAACATTTTATCAGAGACTTTTTTACAATGTAAGGTGGCAGCAAGCTGCCTGAATCCACCGAAATGTAAAGCGACCGCTGCATAAACATCCGCAATTGCAGCGCTGCCTACCCTTCATTGACAGAGACGCACATAAAGAGACATTTCCCCTTCCTATGCGTCTCCGAATCCACTTTTCCTTCCCATTCTTTTCTCTTAAGGGGTGGAAAGGTAAGGGGACTGAAATTAGTCCTCCGGCGTCATCAGTGTACGCGGAATTGCTTCCACTTCACGCCTGTCTGGTCGTGGTATCGCTGAGAGCCCTACAGTGCGAACATGTTAAAGCGGGCTCTACCACTTTAACACGAAACGGGGCATAATAATCTTTACCTTGAGGATATTATCAACTATTCTGAAGGTGGCCCTTCCAGTGTCATCAGCGACGATATTCCCCAAGTCCCCCGCGTGTCGCGCGTGCCCCGGGTCCGCGGGCGCTCCGTGGACAGCATTCAAAGGGTTGTAATGCCCGCCAATTGATTTACAACCCTTTAATAATGAAAATTGAATGAACATCCCCCATATAGGTCATAACGCAGAGCCCAGGATAGAGTGAGTTGGCGGCGTACTGTGGACACCCTCTCCCCCTTTTTGGGACATAGGACAGGAAAAGAGAGAGATATATACATATATATAGCTAGTTAAAAGGCATGTTTTCAGGGAACAAAAAAAATATATCAAAACAAGTTATTCCTCTCGACTTCGCCCAATTGAAATTTAAAAATATACCCTAAGGTACTTAGCGATAAGGTAGCTTTTTAATGGTGAAAGAATTTTTGAAATCGGCCCAGTTTTTGAATTATTTCAATATATACCAAATTTCAAAAATATAAATCTTTTTTTATATTAGTACTAGCTGATGCTCACGACTTTGGCCGCGTGAAATAAAACAATATTAAAAAAATGTAGCCTATGTTACACATAGTTAAATTACCTTTCAGATGGTGAAAGAATTAGAAATCGGCCCAGTAGTTTTTACGTGAATCAAATACATGCAAAATCCAAATCTTTTCTCTTTATAATATTAATATAGATTCACGCGAGCAAAGTCACGAGCAACAGCTAGTGATATAAATGGAAAAGTTTGTATAGGTAGATAATAATCTTATTTAAAAAAATCTGAAAAAAATCGCATGGTAATAAAAAAGCTATACCTGGCTTATATCTCCTACTTCATGGATATGTAACCCATGGGAACCCGGTGTTAATCCATCCAAACACCCATCCGCTATCAAAAAACCATCCGGTGTCTGTTGGAACCGAACCACACCTAACACTTCACCACCACAACAAGATTGACTTGATACCATTGAGACTGCTGATTGGGTATCTGTAATTTACAGGGCTCTTTCAACCCTTAAACAACCCTTAAACATATTTTTTTAGATAATTGTTGATATTTCTTGAGATAATTCTTTTTTTATCACTAGATTTTTGTTAAGCATACTAGATAAGCTGTTGCCCGAGACTTCATCTGCATTGTATTAGAAAACATAGTAAACCGGACATTTCTCGGGGATGAACCTTATCCTATATGTACTCCAGACTTTGTTTTATATCTGTGCCAAATTTCAATAAGATATGTTGAACCGTTGCAGAATGATCGAGTAAACATTAAAAAACTAAATGAATCCCACGGGAACCGTAACTATTCCCGGGATTAAAAGCCTTTGTGTTCCAGACTATGCTCTACCTGTGCCAAATTTCATGGAGATCCGTTCAGCTGTTTAGGCTACAAACGCTAACAAACATCCATCCATCGTAACTTTCGCATTATCCAAAACTTAATTTAGTGATAATTGTCATATATGTAGTTAGTTTGGAACACATAGGATACTTTTGTTTATAATTCACCTCTATCATCAACTTGCCCTTATCCCTTAGAGGGTCGGCACAGTATGTGCTCTTCCATACATCTCTATCAGTCATATCTGAATCCACTCCTTTCTTAAGCATATCCTCTTTCACACAATCCATACTTTCTTCGGTCCTCTTCCTTTATAGTCCACATTCATTCTTAACACTTTCTGGTTTGTCTCCATCTCGTGGCATATTTCACCTCCAAATCCTTGTAAAACAGCCCTTTTTCCTGACGTCAGTGTCACCATCTCCAATACTTGAGTACTAGGTAACGTAGTTTCCAACATTATTGCACCATCTTTAAATATTGCCTACAAATAAATAAATTACAATTACAGCAGAACCTTGATAACTCAAACCTCGGTAACATAAAAACCTATATAACTTCAAATAACATGTTCCCTTCCCATCAGAGCCCAAAACCTACAACATAGACCCTTGATAACTTAAAACCTCTATAACTTAAAATATTCTGTTTCCCTTGGACTTTAACTTATCAAGGTTCTACTGTATATAATAATTAATACTAATATTATAAAATAGCTTTAGCCCGCGTCTCCGTCCGCATGGAATTAAAAAAAAAAAGTAGGTAGCCTATGTGTTTTTAAAGACTATCCTCTACATCTATACCAAATTTCATCCAAATCCGTTCAGTAGTTTAGGCTACAAACTCTAACAAACATCCATCTAAACTTTCGCATTTATAATATTAGTGTGATGTGACAGTTTAGATGGATGTTTGTTAGAGTTTGTAGCCTAAACTGCTGAACGGATTCGGATGAAATTTGGTATAGATGTAGAGGATTGTCTAGCACACATAGGCTACTCATTTTCGTTTTTTTAATTCCACAGAGATGGAGTCTCGGGCAAAAGTTAGTAGAGTCATATTTTGTTAAAATAATAATATCCCTTAAAAGCCTGATTTTTTAAGTCAAACTAAAAAATGTAAAGTGTACCCTTTGCTCTGTTTACTAATGCGAAAAATATTAAAAAAAAAATCAAAACAACACTTTCATATATTGTCCTTACTTGAAGGCTATCAGTCAAAGGTAATTAAACAACCTAATTTTAAAAGAAAATTGATTGCTGGTGCCTGTGATTTATAGCCCTGGTATCAAATTCCTATCCACTGCTACTGATGTGTGGATGATCCCAAGGGTTCTCGTGGAAGATCAGCATTGGTACTTCAATAGGAGCATCCAGCAATTATAGCTGGGCGAGGACCCAATCCGGTCAGCATTGCAACGTTAATTTTAAATATTTCTTTTTTATTAGTTATATTTGTCATTATATTGTGTTTAGTTACTTTTTTTTTCATAATAGTAATGTTGACAAGGATTATACATTATTTTATTTTATTTTTAATTTGAAACTTGAGGCATTTAAGGATTAAACTTAACTGCATACTTTGTTAATCTCCTTTAAAAGAATTTATTAAAAGCAGGCTCACACCTTGGACTAAACTATCACAGGACTGTTGTGATTGTCGATTGTTGCGCAGTCAACTGTTTACCTCAACTAATTGAGTAGTGTGTCCATAAAAGGTAGGAATCAAAGCGAGACTAAACAGTTGTTTTTAGTAAAAGGTGCACTTCTTTTAAAAAAAGTTATAATTTCTTTACTTCAACTCACCTCTTGTACTCCATCTTGAGATTTCAACATTTTTAATGTTTTATCAAGTACATTTTGATCCAATTTCGGACCAAAATCAACTAACACTTCAAGCTGTAAAAAAATGTTTTCTCTAACATTTTTAATCATAATTTGACTAAATTTTGGAAGAAATAATTGTATTAGAGATACTTTCCTGAGTAATTTTTTTTACGAATTTATTAGAGATAGAAACGAAGTAAATAAAAAAAATAACTAACAGTTAGAATCATAATTTGTACATAACAATTTTATTTATATGCTTTAACAGAAGTTTATTTAAATAAACTACTTATTATTGAACTGATAATTTTAACCGAAGTTTCTCGATTACCTTGAAATTACAAAACTTTATATACTCGTATTAGTGAAATTAGCTTCGTCATGATTACATTTGCTTTGAAATTTTAAAAGAAATAAAACGATACCTTAGATGTTAACATGTTTACAGACAATTTAACTATATATGACCTTCCCAGATCTTTTTTTAATTTTCTAGAACTCTTCACTTGCTTACAAAATTGTGCGAATTTTGATTTGAAAATCATAAATTGATAAACAATGTTTGACATTGACAATGACATTGGTTAACAGGTAAATGTTTTTTATTCATACAGCCATACAGACGATTAGTATTTGAGTGAATTATTTTTTGTAATAATAAAAGTTATAAAGTATTTGCCCTTTTTTTTATATAAATTAACTATAAAAGAATATCAGAAGATGCTTTAAGATTTTAAGGTAAGTAGCCATTTAGGTCGGTTTTCTCGCAGACAAAAACCGATGTCTTGGGATAAAGGATTATTAAAGAATAAAACGCGTAACAATAACATTTAATAGTTATAATGTAACATGGTCATTCTAAACATTAAAAGTTATGAAAATAAGCAATATTTAACAGTTGAAATGTTTAAAAGGTCGATTAATATTCTGTATAGTATTCCTGTGGACTCGGTGACAATGGACGACATCTCTGTAAAAAAAAAAAATTAGGAGCCAACTAAGTTTTCAGCATTCTAGAATTTTAAGTCTATTTCATGCAACACATTACCTCTCTATAGTCAGCTTCAGAAATAACTCTGCCAAGCAATTCAACAGGCTTTTGCGGCGTTTGCTCCGTGTTGTGAATTAGTTTGAACACCTCGGAGTGCTGGAGATGGTCGAGGGGTAAAGGAGGTTTTTCGTACTTCATGAAGTTTATCCTGATACCATAATTATTATTATAAATAAAAGAAGAGAGAAAATCACATTAAAGAAGACTTTTTTACAGATGTAATAAAAATATTTATAATCTGTGTGACTTTTTTTTATTAAAATACCAGTGCATACATAAACAGCCGGTGCGATTAGTGATTCGTCAAAACACACGAAAAACAAACTCACTTCAATTATTTTATTATAAGTGGGGATGATTTTTTCTTGTACTTTATGAAAATCCACAAGATGGCAGTTCGATTCTCTGTAAAATTAATTATATTTATCTAAATATAGTCTGAAAAAGAATTAAAATCCACGAGCCAAAAATACATACAGAAGTTTATTTGTGTATCTGTGGTTATTGTGATACGCTGTCTCTGTTATGCCAACGGGAGTGAAAAGGATGAATATAGTGTAACTGCAGTTGAATTCAAATTTGAGAGGTTAATATATATTTTTTCATGTATTTTTAATCGTGGTTACAGTTAGTACGTACCTAAATTTCTTACAAACAGATGGACCGGGCCAAATCTTGTCCCATTGTTCAGCCTTGGGGGCAAACATGCGAATAAAATATTAGTCATAAACAAATATACAAACTTCTCTATTAATCTATGACAGCTGACAAAATCGCGCCAAAATTGTCTAGTTAAAAAAATGATAATCTATAAAAAAAAAGCTTAAAAGTACATTGACCTTTTATTATTTAAATTAATTAAATATCATACGTTAATTTGTGTTAAGATAATTTTAAACTTTACACTATTTGTCTGTAGTTGATATTCTGACAGCGTTTTTGGCGGGAATTTGCATGTCAAAGATCAAAGACTAAAAAGAGTTATAACCTACAACTAATGCGTCTAAATGTCAAAATACCCCATAGTTTTCCCATGAATTAATTCAGAATGTGCTAGAATTGTCTCCGCTATTTGTTCCTCGGTATATTCTTCGCCAGGTCGTCTCCATCGTCTACCTCCAAAGAGTTTTATAGGACGGGGTTCAGGATTCATCCATCCAAACTTTTGCTGTGGTCTATTTGTTTGAGGCTTTTGTGCTTGCATTTGTGATGCAAATGGCTGGTAAATATGTAAATTATAGACGATATATAACTATTTATTCCTATTATTGTAACAGTTTAACAAACACAATATTTTTTTTAGAAATTTACAGTAAAATTTGGTGGTTTTAAGTAATCTTTAACTTTGAGATCTTAATTTAAAAGCAAACAAAATACCTTTTTGTCTTGGACTAATAACGCTCCTTTTGTCTCTGCCTGCATTTTCTCAACTTTCGTTTCTTCTTTTATAATCTGTGGTCCTTCGTTATTGCTGATTTCGACAGCTTTTGTCACTTTTGGCTCTAAAATAAAATAAATACTGTAAAATTGAAATGTCAAGTGTTTGATTTTAAAGAGCAAATACTAACTTTTTTTTATAATTATGATTTTATTGGAATATAATTGAATACTACTAACAATAAGCGTTAACTAAAAATATCTCCGTTAATATATTTACCTAATTCTTGGTATTTTACTCCCTTTGAATGTAAAGTTTCTTCTTTCTTCTGCAAAAAAAATGACAACAATAGATACATTACATAACAAACACTAACATTTTACATTGCTAAAAAACCTCGTATCAAAACTGTAATTTTTTTGTCATAGCAACACACGTTTTTATGCAAATAAACATTGCAATACTAAAATTGTAAATAGGCCCTCGATTCTATTAATTCTATAGCCATAATACCTTTTTGTTTTTAACTTCTCCAGGATTTCTTAGCAAGCGTTTCGAAAACACAATCCAGCAAACAAGCAACAATAATGCCACACGAAACAATACATATTCCACGAACACTGCAAAAATATACTGGTTTGGAAGTAGAAAACTTTATAACAGTCTGTTTTTAAGCAAATTATGTAAATTCTATCTATACTAATATAATAAAGCGTAAACACACACTACTTAGTTATGTCAGCAACCACTGTATATTTCTAAATAATCCTTTTGTAAATGTAAAGCCCTATATTTACGACACGCTTTAAGCTATATATTTTCACGCTATTAAAATCAGGAATCTATCATTTGGAAAGTCACGAGGGAAAGGGACAAAAGCTACAAGATAACAAAGCTAGGTTGCTATGGTAACGGTCTCTATCCATGTCAAAAGTCTTCGCTGCATTTGAATTTTGACATTTGCAATTGTTTCACAAATGTAAACAATAAAATAAAGCTTTTATATCACGCGGAAACCACAAGGGAACAGCTAGTTTATTATAAAATCTTTGCTAAATTATAGTTTGTCTAAATAAGATAGATTAGTTTGATAAATGATGCATATGAAGTATCGAATTCAATTTGTATGAAGGCAAATGCCGTACTTAATAGACAGGTATCGTAGTGAAACAAACACGCGGCAATTATGAACTATCGATATTCAGTTTAAATAACTATCGAACTCAACTAAAATTATTATTTTTTTATTAACCAATTTAGAGGACAATTCTAGTATTGATTACAGTGTAGAGAATTTAGCGATGACAGATATAATAGCGAAATCCAATTCGATTACGTACGGCTGTAGTAGTAATAAACATTTATTTACTCTCATTATTTTGTTATAGTCATTAATAATTTGAGAAAACGGTGTCTTTTTTATTTCATAAGTATAAATCTATCGATTCCAACTTCTATAAGAATAAAAATCGATAAGATTGATGACTGATTACACAACTCATCCCTACTAAATTCAAAATGAATTGTCAAACTAATCTAAATTATTCAGACACACTGTAGTACATTTCTAAAATGAATAAAATAGAGAAATAACTAATCTTTCCTCTTTATAATATTAGTATAAATAAAAAAAATCAGTATATACAACTGTCAACTGTTTACTGGTTTTAAATTACAATTCCACGCACTAAAAACAAAACTTACTTGGAGCTAAACCAAACAACTATTGTCCGCAAAGGTAACAGAACTAGCAATTGCCAAACAGTTTGCCAAACACGAAATATTGTCACATTGCCAAGGTCCATACGTCTAAATTTAGTCCTCAATGAGATGAAGCAATCAATCAATGAAATGACACGCTAAATATTTGACTTTTTTTATAATATAAGGTGGCAAACGAGCAAGCGGCCTGAATCCACCGAAATGGAAAGCGACTGCACATAAACATCCGCAATTGCAGCGCTGCCTACCCTTCATTGACGGAGATGCATAAAGAAGACACTTCCTCTTCCTATGCGTCTCCTCCACCGTCAAATCCGCTTTTACTTCCCATCCTTTCCTTTTAAGAAAAGGGTGAAAAGGGAAAGGGACTATAAAACAACAGTGGTAGTGCCCGCTAACAGTGGTAGTGCCCGCTTTAACATCTTAGCACGAATTGGCCGGCACGCCCGGTGTAATACCACGACCACACAGAAGACAGGCGTGAAATGGAAGCAACTCCGTGTTTCGTCTGATATGTGTAGTGCCGGAAGCCTAATTTAAGTCCCTTTCTCTTTACCACCCTTTTCTTATAAGGAGAGGGTGGGAAGGGGAAGTGGATTTGACGGTAGAGGAGATGCATAGGAAGGGGAAATGTCCTCTTTATGTGCGTCTCCTCCTCCGTCGTATAAGGGTAGGCAACGCATCTGCGATCGCGGATGTCTATGGGCAGCGGTCGCTTTGCCATTTTGGCGAATTCAGGTGGCCGCTTGCTCGTTTGCCACTTTATGTTATAAAAAAAAATAGGCCTCCGATATGCAGTTCTTGTTTTAGTAATAAAACCTTTTTTTAGTAAATAGCTGTTGCTGAATTCGCCCGCGTGAAATATAACCTATGTTACTCACAGATTTACCTTTCTAATGGTGAATGAATTTTTAAGATCGGTACAGTGGTTTTTGAGTTATTTCAATAAATAAAAAAGAACAAACATCCTAATCTTTTCTCTTTATTATATTAGTAAAGACAATATATATACTACTACATCTTTTAATTTCAGAATTGATTCTAAATGAATTCATAACTATTCCATTCAAAAATGTATGTTTTACTAGCTTTCGCCCGCGACTCCGTTCGCGTGAAATTAAAAAAAAAACAAGCCTATCTGTTCTTCCAGACTGTCCTCTACATCTATACCAAATTTCATCGAAATCCGTTCAGCAGTTTAGGCTACAAACTCTAACAAACATCCATCTAAACTTTCGCATTTATAATATTATTATGAGTTCAAAATAAAAGAATCGAGGTCCTAATAGCGCAAACCTTTCACTAATCAATCGCACAACTGTTGTGATTGTCGATTGTTTCGCAGCCAACTGTTTAGTTGCACTAATCGAGTAGAGTACCTCCATATAAGGTCATAGGAATCAAAACGAGACTAAACAATTTTGAGAGAGTTTCGTTTCAGGTGTGCGTGCGCTCTAATAAAATTATTTACTCGCTTATAGACATAAAAAATAATAAACAACGATCTTATGTCATTACTAGCTGTTGCCCGCGACTTCGTCCACCCAATCTTACTAATATTATAAATGCGAAAGTTTAGATGGATGGATGTTTGTTAGCGTTTGTAGCCTAAACGGCTAAACGGATCTCCATGAATTTTGGCACAGATTTAGAGCAAAGTCTGGAAGAACACATAGGCTACTTTTTATCCCGGGAATAGTTACGGTTCCCGTGGGATTTATTAATTTAGTTTTAAAAAGAAAACAAAGTCTGGGGTACACATGGAATAAGCTTCATCCCAGAGAAATGTCCGCTTCCCGAGGGATACGTAGTTTTTTTGTAATTTATATAGTTCGTATGTTTTCTAATACCACGCGGACGAAGTCGCGGGCAACAGTTCGTCGTAAAGTAAATCGAAAATACAAAAGTTACCGACTGTATAATAAATTATTTGCTATATAATTTCCGGTTTACGATATTCAAATACATGGAAGTTAATCAAAATAGATTTTAAACATAGATAATGTTAACAGGATGTCCAGAAATTCCAGGCGTAGAAATATATCGATGTCAATAAGATTAAACAAATATATAGACTAGACATTGTGAACATATTTTCATTTCATTTAATTATATTTATATTGAAGTTTTAAGGATCTATCAATAGATGGCGTTTGATTCTGTGAAAAATATCTCAAGTGTCAACTATACTTTTGCTTGTTCTAACCGCTAGATGGCGTTAAAACAAAAATATCTTTTAAACAGTAATCTAACCTGATTTTTTTGATACAGTTTTTCTGCAACATTCTCAAAGGTTTCTTGAATAATATCAGGAACTTGCTCCAATGTTTCTAGTTGCATTCTCATCTGGTATATTTGTTCTTCAACTGGGATGCTGGCATCTGCTATGAGAAATAATATATACATTTTAAATGCATTTATTAGTACATAGAGTAATTATTTTTTGTATCTTAAGCTTGATTCAAGGTAAACTTACCTGCTATATTCTTAATATTATTCAACAAAAGTTGTATTAACCTATTCTTTCCATCTCCAATATTTAAACACTCCACTCTCATCAGAGCTTCTTGTATTATTTCCTCTACAGTATGTTCTCCTTCACTTTCTGCATTTAATCCTTTCTTCTCAATATTTGATATTTCTTCATTTGGATTATTTACAGGAATAACTGTAAAAATAATTAATACTAGGTGTTCGCGTGCGGATTCATCCGCATGAAATGACAAAAACTTTATTTTATTGTTTACATTTGTCAAATCAATAGCAAATGTCAAAATGACATGACATGACAAACCTTTGCAATCTTTCTTTCTTGATGTTAGCAGCAACTTATCTCTTTCCCACATTAGTGTTTTTATCCAAAATTTACCCCCTAAGTTTAATGGCGTGATGTATAGCCTAAAGCGTGGCGTAAGTTTAGGGCTTCTTATTAAAGAAAATATTCAAAAATATGGTGTAATTGCTGACATCTTAGACAACAAAGAAGTGTGTGTTTACGCTTTATTATAATAGTATAGAAGTATAGATTATAATACCGAAAAACACTGAATAGTGTACCTCCATATACGCTTATAGGAATCAAAGCGAAAACAAACAGTTGTCAGATAGTTTAAAAGTGTGCGCGCGACAAACTTGTAAGGTGTACCTGTAGATTTGTGAACACTGTTTTCTTTAGACTCTGTAGGTATCGCTAGAAAGAATTTCGGTTCATCTCCTGGTGTCAATTCTGTTATATTTGGTGCACCCAAAGTGTCGGCTAATTTCCTCTCTTGCCAGGGTATTGGACTTGAGTTGAAATCCTGCAGATACAAATGCAAAAAATAAAAGTACAGTAGAACCTTGATACATAACTCACCACTCTCAACACAACTATACATAACGCCATACATGTCGCAGAGAATCGCACAGAGTGGAGAAACACCCTTCGAGAGAGTGTCAAGGAGAGTGGTCGCGACCCTCAGGGATGAGGAAACGATCCGGAGAGAGAGAGAGAGAGAGAGAGACAGAACCTTGATAAGTTATAGTCCAAGGGAAACACAAAATATTTTAAGTTATAGAGGTTTTAAGTTATCAAGGGTCTATGCTGTAGAGGTTTTGGGCTCTGATGGGAAGGGAACATATTATTGTTTGAAGTTATAGAGGTTTTTAAGCTACCGAGGTTTGAGTTATCGAGGTTCTGCTATAATTTAAAAATAGGTTAATATCCAAAAAGACTTGTAATTCTATGATTGTATATTTTCCTCATTTTATATGGTTTTATTAAAAAAATGTGTTATTTTAAAGTGAAATATAAAATGAAATAGAACTAGTAAATTCCAAATAACTAAGACATTTGACTACACTATCGCACAACTGTTTAGTCTGGCTTTGATTCCTAGCTTATATGAAGCTACACTATTCGATTAGTTGTGCAACTAAACAGTTGATTACGAAACAATCGACAATCGCCACAGTTTAGTCAAAGGTGCATCCGCTCTAAATTGTTTTGTTTTATTCTAGTATTTTCTAGAAGTAACTTACCCTTGGTTTAATCACAGGAGATCTTACTTCGTTGCGATTTATTAATTTAGTTGCAAAAGGTTCCTGTAAAAAATTAATACGAGTTAGAGATATTTTTACATTTTATTATCTAACTAGCTGTTCCTGTGCAACTTCATCCGCATAAAATTATGAAAATTTTATTTTATTGTTTACATGTATCAAATTACCAATTGCAAATGTCAAAATACCAATTGCCTTACCATGGCAATCTTGCTTCCTTGATGTTGGCAGCAACTTATGGTCTCTTTTCACATTAGGGTTTTTATCCAAAATTTTTACCCCCTAAGCTTAATGGCGTGAAAATATATAGCCTAATGCGTAACGTAAGTGTAGGGCTTTTTATTAAATAAATAATTATTCAAAAATATACTGTAATTGCTGACATCTTAGGCAACAAAGAATTGTGTGTTTAAGCTTTATTATAATAGTATAATATATTTTGTTACATGTTAACTACCTGATATTCGAATTTATTCTGTAAATCCGCAAAATATCTCAACGTTTGTGTTGGCACATTAGTCGATTTCTGTAAAAACGTCGTCCACGATCTATCTTCATTTATATTATCTTCTAGAACATCCTTTTTATTCTCGAATTTATCTTTCATCTTTTGACAATCAGGACTCAATCCTTCTCGGAGCATATGCGATGATAAAACTCTTGTAAGACTGAAGAAAGAAGAAAGAAGAGATTAACTCCACGCGACTTCGCCCGCGTGAAAATAAAAAAACAAAAGTGAGTAGCCTATGTGGTCTTCCAGACTATCCTCTACGTCAATGGCATTGTATCGAGGCCCGTTCAGCAGTTTAGGTTACAAAGTCTAACAAACATCCATCTAAACTTTCGCATTTATAATATTAGTAAGATAGAGTAAAGGACACATGCATACAATTGTCATTTCAGTTTAATTCCACAATAACATGACTTTCTAAACGAATGCTTTCAGAAAGCGCATATTCGGACGCTTTTCCGTTGGTTAAAAAAACTTTGACATAAAATAAATGCATTTTAATATTTAAAAATAATATGCAAGAAACATAGTTGACACTACATTTGAGACATTTCACATAATCTGAACAACGCCATCTATTGATAGATCCTCAAAACGTGTCAATATTTTTGTATTTAAATTTAATTACCAATAGATGTCACATTTTAATACAAGGACATGAAGCAATAATTTGACAACTAACGAAGTACCTTTCAAAGAAGTTACCGGTGAAAAAATGTTGCTCACTGTCTAATCGGATTATTCCCAACCGTCACCCCCTCTGTCCCCACGTGTTGACAGATGAAAATTTTCACCCGTCCCACCTTTTATAACGAGGGGACTGTTGGAACTTATCTTATTTCATAACGCTTCCTGTACCTTATTGATGATAGTGGGACTAAAAGGTGGGACGGATGTACCTTCTCCAATGGGGACAGAGCGGTAATCTGTCTATTCTATATATTAGTTGAATGTCTTTGATTTTGTTGTTGAAAGGCGAAGGTAGCAGTAATTTACATTTACAAACACCGGGCCACAAAAATTTGACTACAGTTACCTTATGACATGTGCTTCTTTGACTGTATCCGTTCCACTAGGACTTGTCTCTTTAGAGGTAGATCTGTCTATCGTTAAAGCTGTAACTCCTGTAAATATAAAATATACTAAAATCATTTCATATTTCATATAAATATTGACTAGTTTTTGCCCGCGACTTGTCCGCAATATTAAGATTGAAAAAGTTTTTTTTTTTTTTATAACATAAGGTGGCAAACGAGCAAGTGGCCACCTGAAATCGCCAAAATGGCGAAGCGACCGCTGCCCATAGACATCCGCAATTGCAGATGCGTTGCCTACCCCTATCCGACGGAGGAGGAGACGCACATAAAGAGGATATTTCCCCTTCCTATGCATCTCCTCCACCGTCAAATCCACTTCCTCTTCCCAACCTCTCTTTATAAGAAAAGGGTGGTAAAGAGAAAGGGACTTAAATTAGGCCTCCGACACCACACTCATCAGACGAAACACGGAATTGTTTCCATTTCACGCCTGTCTTCTGTGTGGTCGTGGTATTACACCGGGCGTGCCGGCCCATTCGTGCTAAGATGTTAAAGCGGGCACTACCACTGTTATATTTTTGTTGTTTTTTTGTTTTTAGTTTATAGACTGGCATATTTAGTTGCCTATAATATGCCAGTCTATGTCAGATAACCTTCGAATTTTTTTTTTTTATAAAAAAAGGGGGCAAACGAGCGGCGTGTACACCAAGGTGGTCAACGACGCCCATGGACATCCGTAACACCAGAGGAACTACAGATGCGTTGCCGGCCTTTGAGGAAATGATAGGCTCGCTTCTGAAAGACCCTAAGTCGTATTGGTTTAGAAATACCGCCGAGGACAGACCGTTCCACAACGCGGCTGTGCGGGGCAGAAAGTTCCGCGAATAAAATAAATAAACGTGGCTTGCGGACAGACAGACAAGAAAAGTTTTAATGCGATTTTCGTTATTACCGACACAAATACATCATTTTCTTGAAATCAAGAATGTTTCTTTTGATATTACTAACAGACATTTCAATTTTATGATATGTGTAGATTTAAAGTTCTAAAACAGATTCGAAATGGCGACGCAAATGTATTAGAAGCGCGCGCACAATTTTGATTAAATAAAACTGTTGAGCGACTGTCGATTGCTTAGCAGTCAATTCAACTATTCAGTTGCACAGAAATCGAGTAATGTATAACGCCCGGCAAACATCTTGAACAATACATTTAGTTGCGCAGAAGTCGATTTTTGGGTCTTTTTGGCGGGGCAAGGGGGAATGCGCGCGCTCTCTTGCTATTGGTTAATCAGTCGGTATTTGCGTCCCGCTTCTTTCCTCATGTTACTTTTACTCCCGAATACACATATCTCCAATTTTATTGGCCCAATTTCGCTGTTACTTATTTTCTTTCTATTGTTGTTATTCTTGAGTCTCATTTGTTTATTATTGTTAAGTTTGAAGTCTTTCGACTAACATCAGGTAATATTGGGTGATTTATGACATTTTCTTGTAGGCGTGGTACTTAGGTATTTCAACAAAATAGTTGTCTTGATAATTGGTGTAGTAATCCTCAATATCACAATTCATATTTCCACTAAATAATTATAGATCATAACGATATGTTTCGATTAAGATATTGAATTGACGTCCACCGAAGACATGGTCGCGCGCGCATTCCATCGCGACTCAAATGGAACTGACTCGATTAACAAAATGGCCGTCCTACCAGTGCTCGGTGTTCGCCATGGGCATAGAGTAAGCCTACAAGTTTTATTTGATTGTTATTGTTTTGACTTTTTGTGTTGAGTATGCCACGAAAAAGTAACATTGTTCTAAAAAGACAAGTCAGGAAAATAGTATATGATGTATATTGTTTCATGAAACAAGAATCATCTTAAGAAATTGCACAAGCTGTTTATGAATGTCTGTCATGTTCTTAAAATTTAAAATTGATTTTTTTTCATTCCTAATTAATACAAATACTCAAAATAGGTCAATTATTTTGTCTAAAAGTGTACGTGCGCGAAACTTCCCCCACTACGCCGCTTTTTGTTCAAGAAGTTTGCCGGCCGTTATAACCATATAAGCTCATAGGAATCAAATCAAATCGACACTAAACAGTTGTGAGGAAGTTTACTCAAATGTGCGCGCTCTAATCCGGTATTTAATTATTAATGTGGTATTCAAATTATTTGAATAGATTATGTAACTTACTGGCGACTTCTTCGTCAGCTGTCTTTTGTTCTTCGTCAGTAGGTACATCAACAATCCCAGATTCTTCAACATCCTAAAACATAAGTAATTTACCACTACATTACAATGAAAACTAGCTTTTGCACGCAAAGTTCGAGTGGAATCTATACTAATATAATAAAGCGTAAACACACACTTCTTTGTTGCATAAGATGTCAGCAATTACACCATATTTTTGAATAATTCTTACTTTAATAAAATGCCATACACTTACGTCACGCTTTAGGCTATATATTTTAACACCATTAAACTTAGGGGGTAAATATTTTGAATAAAAAACCCTAACGTGGGAAAGAGACCATAAGTTGCTGCCAACATCAAGGAAGCAATGTTAACATCATGTCATGTCGTCATTTTGACATTTGTAATTGATAATTTGACAAATGTAAGCAATAAAATAATATTTTCATAATTTCATGCGGATGAAGTCACACGGGAACAGCTAGTTAAAAATAAACCAACTAAGTAGCCTATGTATTCTTCTAAACTATTACGTTTATGCCACATCGCGATCCGGTCAGTCGTTTACAAACTCTAACAAACACCCACCCATCTACTTTCGTATTTGTAATATGAAAGTCATCAGAACGTACTAACTAACTAAACTGTTGTGATTGTCGGTTGCAGCCTTCAACTGTTTAGTCGCACAACTGAGTAGTATACCTTCATATAATCTCATAAGAATCGAAGCGAGACTAAACAGTTGTTCGATAGTTGAGTCAAATGTTTGTGCACGCTTTTTTTTTTATAACATACGAGTAAGGTGGCAAACGAACAATCGGCCACCTGAAACCGCCAAAAATGGCGAAGCGACCGCTGCCCATAGACATCTGCAATTGCAGATGCGTTGCCTACCCTTATACGACGGAGGAGGAGACGCACATAAAGAGGATATTTCCCCTTCCTATGCATCTCCCCCACCGTCAAATCCACTTCCTCTTTCCAACATATCATTATAAGAAAAGAGTGGTAAAGAGAAAGGGACTTAAATTAGGCCTCCGGCACCACACACATCAGACGAAACACGGAATTGCTTCCATTTCACGCCTGTCTTCTGTGTGGTCGTGGTACTACACCGGGCGTGCCGGCCCATTCGAGCTAAGATGTTAAAGCGGGCACTACCACTGTTGTAGTCAAGGTTCCAAATATTCAGTGAACTAATTATAATGAAACCTACATTTACAATTATGTTAAAAAAACTGTACAAGTACATTCTTACCTTATCGATTTTAATTACAACATTTTCAGGCTTTTCAGGCTCTGAATCTTCTTCAATTGTATTAAATTCTCTTTTAATAGATTCCTCACCTGTATCAGGTGGCAGTTCGACAACTCCCGTGTTCTCATTTTCTTTTTCTAATTCCTCGAAAGATGTGATTTCTTTGATATCATAACCTCTAATTCTTGCTTCTTCAATTTTATTTGTAAAGTCATGTTTAATATCTATGTTGACTGTATCGGTTTTTTCATTGTTTATTTCGATTTTGATTTGAGAATTTGATTGAATTTCTGTTGGTTTAATATCTGGAGGTTGTTCGTTGATTTGATTTTCTATTGAAATCTGTTCGGAAGTTTCTTTAGTATTTGCGTCGATTTCTTCGAGTTTTGTCTGTTCTTCTGTATTCTCTTCTTCCATAGTTTTTGAACTTTCCCCTTCTGCTTTCTCTTGTTTTAATGTTTCAACTATTTTCTTATATTTCTCGATGTTTTTCAAAGTCTCGTTGATGTCAGATGTCAGAGTTGATAAATGTTTGCGTACTTCTAATATTTCCTCCTGAAATACACATTTTTGATGAGTTTTGAGTGAAGATACGTTACATTTTGTTTAATGTTCTAGAAATATTCACAAATTCTGAACCTTAAATGTTCTCCAAAATATCTTACTTTTAAATTCAAGGTTATCTTTTTAAAAAATTGAAAACAAATTGAGTTACAGCGCACACTTTTGACTAAACTATCGCACCACTGCTTAGTCGCGCTTTGATTCCAAACTTACATAGTTACACTACTCGATTTTTAGTTGTGCAACTAAACAGTTGGCTGCGAAACAATCGACAATCACAACAGTTGTACAAAAGTTTAGTCAAAGCTGTGCGCCCTTACAATTATACAAAAGTGACAGTTTTATAATAATCTATACTATTATAATAAAGCGTAAACACACACTTCTTTGTTGCCTAAGATGTCAGCAATCACAGCATATTTTTGAATAATTCTTTCTTTAATAAAAAGCCTTACACTTACGTCACGCTTTAGGCTATATATTTTCACGCCATTAAACTTAGGGGTAAATATTATGGATAAAAACCCTAATGTGGGAAAAAACCATAAGTTGCTGCCAACATCAAGGAAGCAAGGTTGTCATCATGTCATGTCATTTTGACATTTGTAATTTGACAAATGTAAACAATAAAATATATTTTTTTTATAATTTCATGCGGATGAAGTCGCATGGGAACAGCTATAATGCATAAACGTGAATGTGTGAATTTGTTTATACGATGACAGAAGCGTTATTTAATAAGACAGTTTTACCTTACCTTAGGTATTGGAGGTCTATCGGATCCACCTCTTAATCCTGGTTTAAAATACCTTGGCAGTCGTTTCATACCACCGTTTAAACCTGGTTTAGTGTAAGTAGGTGAGTGTACTGGACTTGTAGGTGGGGTGGGCAGTGGAGGATTGTAAATTACCCTTTCAATAGTCACTGATTCTATAGTCGGTATAAGATTTTGGTTAACAATATTTTCTTTATGTATTTCAGGACTAGGTTCTCTTGGAGCTGGTGTGGTTCCTCTACTTTTAGGTAAAGGTGCTGTAAGTCTAAATATGTATTCGTCTGTTAATGGCGTCGGAGGTTTAGTGGGTGAATCAATTTCTGGTGAGCTTTCGTTTGTTTTAATAGTCTGAGATGCATCAATTTCTTCTCTTTTAAGATTGGTTTTGACAGATAGTGATTTTGTTTTATTATTAACAATTGCAGAATTAATTTCGTGAGAAACTAATGTTCTGCTTTCTTGTGAACTTGTTTTGGCTTTTTCAAAACTACCTTCAATTGCACTTATTTGAGATTTAGCGTTGATTTCTAAATCCGAAATTCCGTTTCCGATTGATACTTTATGTGTTTCTTTCTTAAGTTCTGTATTAATCGATTGGACATTTGACCTTGATTTCTGGCTTATTCGTTTCTGATTAGTATTTTTAGTATTTTCTGATTTAAAGTCTGTTGACTGAGAATATATAATTTCAGTTTTATCAACATCTTTAGTACTTAAATAAGTGTTTACTTGTTTGCTATTTAGTTCGTCATAATTTTCAATAACTGCAGTTAGTACATCTTTCTTGAATATGGTTAGGTCTGCAGATTCCTCTTGATTAGAAGCATGTTCTTTATTTCTTTGTTTTACAATTGTAGCTGCCTCGAATACATCTTTAGATGTATTTTGATTTTGTGATTGTAATATATATTCAAGAGAAGCATCAATTGAATCGTTTCTATTCTCAATATTAATTACATCTTCAATATTTTCATCAGAATCTGTAATTTCTTGTATTGTTAATCCAGATTCGTTATCTTGATCTAAATTAAGATTAAATTCTTCTTGGAATTCTTCTGTATGATATTGTTTTAAATTCTTCTTTCTTTTTACATGTAACGTATCTTCATTTGAAACAGCAATTGTTTCTATAACTTGAGGTTTTGCTAAAGTTAAATTATAAGACATTTCTTCAGAAGTTTCATCTCTTTTTGCTTTTGTTTTATTAATAGTAATATTAACATTTGCTTCACTATTTTCTTTATACTCTTGTATGTTTACTGATGTCTCACTAATATTCTCTATAATAGGTTCTTTAACAGGTTTACTCTTAACATCAGTCACATATTTATTTGTTTTCGAAACTTCTTGAATACCAATATTTGATTGAATATTACTTTCTTGAGCTTTAGAAGATTTTTGTTTGATTAATTTCTTTCTTCCTTTGGTCACGGTTTCTTTTGCGTTTAATTGTACCGTTTCTTCAGTAATTATACGTTCATTTTCATTTAAGTCTTCAATTTGTAATGATTCTAAATTACCGAAATTTTCTTCAATCATTGATTTCTTAACACTTAATGTAACGGTTTCATCTTTCGTTGTTGAAATAGCTTTAACATTCTTTTTCTTACTAGCTTTAGTTATTTTATTATCACCATTTTCATATGATACATTCATTTCTTTAATTGATACAATATTTTTATGTTTTGGTTCTATTTTAATAATAGCTGATTCTTCTACGAAGTTACTTTCCTTATATTCTGTATCTTGGAGATTAATAGACTCATTTGTTGCTGTCGCGTTATTTATTGACTGAGCTTTTGTAAAATCTTGACCCTCTATAGTAGAATGACCGATTTGTTCTAGTTCTAAATTAGATTCATAATTTTCAGCAATTGCGTATTTCAAATCTACTTCTTTTGCTGTAGCTGAACTAACAGCATAAGTAGCAATAAGTTGAATATCCTCGTAACTTAAATTAGCATTATCTTCTTTCATTTCATAACTTATTGAAGTATTTTGTACTTTCTTTAAAGATTCGTCGTCTTGTTTGATAACAGCGTGGCATATTTTCTGAGCTGTTGCCAACTCTTTTGTTTCTAAAGATTCTGAGACTGTCTTTTGTTCAAAAATTTCAGTTTCTAGATTTATTATTTCAAAAACAGGTACATTTGATATAAAAACAGTCGCCGTACATATTGGTAATGTTTTGGGGAATAATTTAGGTTCTAAAGCATATTCAGCTTGATATTCTGAAACTGTATCTACATTAAATGAGGTAACTTCATCTAATTTTGTTATAATAGTTTCAACAATACTTGTACAAATACACAAAATTGTTATTAAATATTTAGCTTCTATACTCGTGTCTGCGTTTTCTGTAAGCATTTGTTTTATTTCTAATACTTCAGTACTGTTATAAGAAGTATTAATATGTTCTAAAATTGAAATGCATATTGGAAAAATCCTAATTAATAATGGCTCTTCTTTAACACTACAAAATTCTTCTTCAATTTCATTCACTTTGAATGTATCGCATTCTTCTAAATCTTTATAAATTTCTTCGATCGCAGCAACACATATAGCTAATATTAAAATCAATTGACTAACTTCTACAAATACATTAGCTTCAACTCCTTTAATATCTTCAATTAATAAATTGTTAGTTTCAAATAATTCTTCATTGACATCATTAAGAATGGATGTAGAGAGTGGTAAAGATTTTTCTAAAACAAAAGGTTCTATAGACGTTGAAGGCAAGACTTCTTCCAATTCTTCTGTTAAAAATGATGTACTTTCTTCTAACAGTAATTTAATATATTGACTGATGTCTACACTCGTTTTCAAAGCTTTAAAGTAATAATTATCCTCCAAAGATGTTTCAACTATATCTTCTTGTAGCTTCTCTACAGATAAAATATCTGCTTCTGAATAGATTATATCAATATTGTTTAAAATTGAAGTACAAATTGAAAGAGCTGTTAAAAATCTTTGAAGTTCTAGTTGAGGTGATGCTGTTTCTTCTTCAAGCTTATTAATTACAAGTTCATTTATTACTTCCAGAAGTAACTCAATGTCTTGATTTATTTCATAACAGATTGTTAGAGCATTAAAATATTTATTTTCTTCTTCAGATAAAATTGCATTTTCTTTTGGAAATTGTTCTTCGGGTAATAATTCCGCTTCAAAGTAATTCGTTATAATCTCACTTGATACAGATGTAATGATTGCTAAAGCAGTTATAAATGTTTGAGGTTCTATTTGTGTTGTGGAAAATTCTTCTTTAAATTGATCAATTATAAGTTCATTAGTTACTTCTAGAAGTACTTTAATGTTCCCACTAATTTCATTACATGTTACTAAAGCTTTAGAAAAGTGATTCTCTTCTTCAGACCATTCTGCTTTCTCTTCTTTAAATTCTTTGACTATAACTTCTGCTTCAACGTATATTGTATAAGTTTCATTTGAAATCGAAGTGCAAATTGATAAGGCATTTGCAAATACATTTTCTTCTATAGATGTTAAAGCTAATTCTTCTGGGATTTCATTTCCTTCAAATGTATTACATTCTTCTAAATGTGTTTCTATATTGTTACATATAGGAATACATATACCTTGAGTTGAATAAATATATCTTTTCTCTTCTTCATACGAAGGGTGCTCTTCTGTTATACATTCATTTTCAGAAGCGTCTGCTTCTATAAGTATAGTATCTAAGTGCGTTAAACAAGGTATAGCAATGGGTAAAATTGTAATAAATCTTTTGTCCTCTTCTTTCACATTGGCTATTTCATTCAAAGATTCATCAATGCTAATAAACTTAACTTCTTCTAAAGATATATTTATTTTTTGACATATTTCTGTATTTAAAGTGTGTGCTTTACTAAATACTTCAATTTCAATATGTTCTGTTGATTTTTCTTCAATAATTGTAGATGTCTCAAAGTTATTTACTTCTTGAAGATCTACGGTAATGTTATTGACTACAGATACGCAATATCCTTTAGCTGTATGAAACTTTGATTCTAAATTTGAATCAGCAACTTCCTGTTCTATTTTTAAAATCGATAGTTCTATGACTTCTTCTGTATTTATTATTATATCTTGTATAACAGCATAACAAATGGAATACAGTTTAACAATTTCATCCATCACTTCTAAAGACGAGCATTGTTCTGATTCTTTAATTTCTTGTTCAAAATGTTCGGATTCCTCAAGTTTTGTATCAAAATCAAAAGCAGTAGCAATACAAATTGATTTTATTTTAATTAGTTCTTGGACTTCAGTAGAAGATGTCGCTAATTCCTCGTTCTTTTCAATACAGAAAGACTCTATATCTAATTGGTTGAATGATGTATTTATTTCTTCAATATTACCATAATTAAGTTTAAGGGCAGTTGTCAATTCTTTAATTTCTAATACTTCAACCGCTCTGTCTTCTAGAAAATCTTCTTTTTTGATATCATCTATAGTATTGTAAACTGCACTGATCTGTCTTGACACATCTTTGCCATAAATTACAGGTTTAGTCAAGTTTTCCTCTTCGATTTTAACTATAGGCGATTCTTCTGTTATCTCAGTAATTTCGACAGCTCCTTCTACTTCATTATATACTTCACTCGTTTGTCTAGCCGTTGCTATAGCAACAATTTGCGCATTTTCAAATTCCTTTGTTTCTGTCGTTGTTATAGCAATTTCTTCTGCAAGTATGGCACTTGCATTTGAATCATACGATATTTCATTCTCTTCTGTTTCATGCAGATGAGTTTTTACTTCCTCTATTGTTTCTACACCTCTAACTTGAACTACACTTAAGTTTTTAGACTCAATATTTACTATAGGTAATTCTTCGTTTAATTCTGTGATTTCAACAGAATCCTTTTGGACTTCGTTAAATGATTCATTTATTTGATTAGTTGCTTCATGTACAGTTATTGTATCCATTTCCTCTACAATTGGTGTAGGTATTATTACTTCATTCAAGTGTTTAGTTTCGTTCACTTTAATTCTATCTTCAACTTTATCTGATATTTCTTCAACTTCAGTTTCATGTATTTCAGAAGTCACAATTGACTCATTTATTGCAAGTCTGTTAATTTCTAATGATTTGTTACTTTTTTCTATAATAATTGGTGTAGGTGTTTGCTTATGTTCAACAGTAACAGTGGCTACATAGTCAATTCTTTGTCCATCTTCATCAATTAAAAATTCTTTAGATTGATAATCTTCAGTTTTCGTATATTTTTCATTTAAGTCTCTTTGATTATTTGAATATTTAAAATATTTACCTGCGATACATTCTGTAGCAACCATTTCATTCGTATCTGTTATTTGTAATACATTATTTACTTGTGTTTTTATATGAGATATATAATCATCGAAGATAGCATTTTTGTTAGTATATACATGTGATTCTACAATAGCTACGTATGTTAATCCATCTATTTTTCCATTTTCGATATCAGTGAGATTATGGTAAGAACGGCGTCTACCTAACATTGTTCTTGCTGCGGTTAAAGTAGCGACTTTTATCTCTTCTTTCATTTGTTCTGTCTCTTCTTTATCCATTTTACTAAGCCATTTTTCATTAGTTTCCTCTACTCTTGTGACACTTTTCGCTCTTCTATCGTCATGCTTGACACGACTTTTTATGTTTAATTTGGAGTTAAATTCTGATATGACATTATCCATTTTCTGAGTCAAATCTTTTGGTTTTCTTAACACAAGTTGAACTATATCAGTGCTTGATAGTTTTCTTTTACTAATGATTTCTCTGTCCTTAGTTATTTGAGTTGTAAACTGGGTATGTATTGGTAGAAATCTTGTTAATTTGATTATTACGTAAGTAAAGTATGAAAAAAATTTGTTTATTAAATATTTTGATGCTTTTGATTCTGTTGTTCTTTTAATTCGTTGAATTAATTCTGATCCTATAGAAAATACTTTTCTTGCTGTACATTTTTCTTTTTGTCTACCCTTAATTATTATTTGTTTCGATTGTTTGTTTTCAAATATCGTAGATTTCTTTTTAACTAAACCATCTTCTATACTTTCTTCTAACTCTTGCAGTAAAAATAGTTTCCTGTCGTTCTCTTCTGGTTTAATTTCTTTATTCATTTCAGGTTTTGTGTCAACAAATTCATATAAATTGACAGTTTCTTTCACAGATTTAGATACATCACTGATATCTTTCAGTTTTTCGTTTGAGAGATTTTCTTGTTTCAATTCTTTATTAATTACTGAAGGTTGCGAGATATTTTGTATTTTTTTCAGTGTATCATTTTCAATATTTAATTCAGTATTAACTTTGACAGTTCTTTCTCTCATTGGAACAGCCTTTTTTAAGCTTTCTGTGATTATTTTACGGGCAGTATTTTTGAGATCTTCTATATCGTCTTTTTTGTCTATTTCAATAGATTCTTGATTATAATTTATTCTAATTGATGTCATTTCTTGTATTTTATGCTCGATTCTTTCTTCTTTATGTTCAGAATTAATGTTTTCTGGATCATATTGAGTTGATACTGGTAGTTTAAATTTTCTTCGATCTTCATGTAGTTCTGTTTGGTTGGTTGTATTATTATTCTTATGTAGTATTTCATTGTAAAGTTCGATAGAAAATGGTCGGAATTTATTTGCATTGTGTGTTACAGTTGTTTTACTATCTCGTTCGTTTGTTTTCGTTATTTCGGTTATAGGTACTTCAAGTAATACCTCGGTGATTTGTGACGCGTCTGAATCTCGCTGTTCTATGGCCTCTGTTTGCACGTCAACAGCCGGGACGTAGTGCCCACTGGAAAATAATAAAATCACAAATTATACTTAGAACACGTAAATAATTTGATAAAAATACTAGCTTTCGACCGCGACTCCGTCCGTGTGGAATTAAAAAATTAAAAGTATGTACTCTATGTGTTCTTCCAGAATATCCTCTACATCTATACCAAATTTTATAGAAATCACTTTAGCCATTTTGGCTACAAACTCTAAAAAACATCCATCTAAACTTTCGCATTTATATTGTTAAATAGCTTTCGCCCGCGACTCCGTCTCCGCGGAAAAAAAGAAAACAAATGCAAGTAGCCTATGTGTTCCAGACTATCCGCTACATCTATACCAAATTTCGACGATGTCGACGCGCTCAATATTGGCGAGTCATTGTTGATGTTGTCATTAAATAAAATTTACTTAAAAAAATTATAACAACTTAAGAACACTATTTCACTATAATTAAAAAAAAAACACCAAATAATCCTGGCACATAATAATTAAAAAACTCACTTTTTTTCGTAAACCAAATGATACTTCATAATAACATTTTATTCCCAGCTAATTATATGCAACCAATCTTTATAAAACAAATGAATCAATGTTTGGGATCATCTAATGATCGACATCTGAATGAATTTCCGTTTGTTTTTAGAGATCCTTATGTATACTATTATAATAAAGCGTAAACACACACTTCTTTGTTTCCTAAGATGTCAGCAATCACAGCATATTTATGAATAACGAGCTGTTGCCCGCGACTTCGTCCGCGTGGTATTAGAAAATATACGAACTATATAAATAACAAAAAGCTACGTATCCCGGGAACCGGACACCTCGGGGATGAAGCTTATCCCATGTGTACTCCAGACTTTGTTTTATATCTGTGCGAAATTTCAATAAGATATGTTGAACCGTTGCAGAATGATCGTGTAAACATTAAAAAACTAAATTAATGAATCCCACGGGAACCGTAACTTTCCCAGGATAAAAAGTAGCCTATGTTTTCTTCCAGACTATGTTCTAAACCTGTGCCAAATTTCATGGAGATACGTTCAGCCGTTTAGGCTACAAACGCTAACAAACATCCATCCATCCATCCATCTAAACTTTCGCATTTATAATATTAGTAAGATTATTTTTTTAATAAAAATCCCTACACTTACGTCACGCTTTAGGCTATTTATTTTCACACCATTAAACTTAGGGGGTTAATATTTTGGATAAAAACCCTAATGTGGGAGACTATAAGTTGCTGCCAACATCAAGGAAGCAAGATTGTCATCGTGTCATGATATTTTGACATTTGTAATTAATAATTTGACAAATGTAATAACATAAAATTTTCACAATTCCATGCGGATGAAGCCGCACGGGAACAGCTAGTAGACAAATAAATTCTACAATAGACAATAAATTCTACAGAACCTTAAATAAATAAATTACTTTAGCGCTTGTTTATGAATCATCAATAATTTGGCCACGTCTTATATCGACGTATAATAAATATTGGCAATGATAAGCACGTGGTTACGCCAATCGATGAAAGACCTTACTTCCTGGTTATTTACTTCAAGCACTAATAGATTTGATTATATTCGATTCTGGCTAAATAGAACCCATAATCTGTCAATTTTGGGATCTGTCAAATATAGGAATCTATACTTCTATACTATTATAATAAAGCTTAAACACACACTTCTTTGTTGCTTAAGATGTCAGCAATTACACCATATTTGAATAAGTATTTCTTTAATAAAAAGCCTTACACTTACGTCACGCTTTAGGCTACCTTCACGCCATTAAATTTAGGGAGTAAATATTTTAGATAAAAACCCTAATGTTTAAAAGAGACTATAAGTTGCTGCCAACATCAAGGAAGCAAGATTGCTAAGATTTGTCATGTCATGTCATTTTGACATTTGCTATTGATAATTTGACAAATGTAAACAATAAAATAAAATTTTCATAATTCCATGCGGATGAAGCCACACGGGAACAGCTAGTGCTGGATAACTAGCGTTAGTGTTAATGTTTCTAGCGTACTAGTAACTTTATCTTTTTATATAAGAAACACCAAGGTAATCAACGACGTCCATGGACATCTGTAACACCAAAGGAACTACAAATGCGTTGTCGGCCTTAAAGAAATTGTAGGCTCGCTTCTGGAAGGACCCTAAGTTGTATTTGTTTGGAAATACCGCCAAAGACAGGCCGTTTCTAACGCGACTGTGCGGAGCAGAAAGTTTCGCGATAACTGCACGGTTGTGGAATGCCAGCCATCGAGATGGTGGGAATATTACCTGACGATATCTTTTTATTATAATTAATGCGATCGTTTTTACGTTTGGATCTGAAACGGCTGAATGGATCTTGATGAAATTCAGCATAGATGTAGAGGATAGTCTGGAAGATATATAGGCTACTTAATTTTTTTAATTTCGCACGGTCGGATTCGCAATGAAAATATGATAAAAATGCGGACACCTTTGACTAAACTACCACACAACTGTTTAGTTTCGCTTTGATTCTTGTGATATTATACGAAGGTGCACTACTGGATGTTCAGTTGTGCGACTAAACAGTTGCCGCATGCGAAATAATTGACAATCGTACCAGAGTTGTGCGATTGTCGATTGTGCGTGTACCGCTGTCCGCCCACTCTTGTAGTATTTAAAACGATGTTTTCGACCTTTTCATTCACGTGAGCTCTTGAAAGCGAAACAATTTTAATCATCTGTCAATTAGAACCCTGCCAAAGTAACACAATATATTTGCCAATCTATTGAAGTGGTGCCAAAACATATTTAGATACAAGTCAATGTTACGATAAATTATTTGACCCAATAGTTAATTAGTTACTATTCATGTCAATCTAAAAGTACTGCTGAATATATAAATTCACTCCGTTCTCTAGCATATCTTCAACACACATACTTTCCCCTACGTATTGTACAGTATGTACTCTTACATCTCTATCAGAATATCTGAATTCCCTTCTCTATCATATCCTTCAGCACACTTTCTTTCCCCTACGTAGTGTACAGTATGTACTCTTACGTCTCTATCAGAATATCTGAATTCCCTTCTCTAGCATATCTTCAACACAATACATACTTTCCCCTACGTAGTGTACAGTATGTACTCTTACATCTTTATCAGTATATCTGAATTCCTTTAGCGTATTCTCTGCACTACAATACATACTTTCCCTTACGTAGTGTGCACTTTTACATACATCTCTATCGTTTCTTGATATTTCTTACCTCTACGAAGTCGAGTCTCGACAATAGGATTGAAAACAAACTGCTATATTAACTAACAAACAACTAAACACTGTCACGGTTAAATACAAACTGCCAGTTAAACTTGGCAAAGAGTTAATTGACCGCATTTCTTTTTAGTTACTAGGGTTGTCACCTCTGTTTTGTATTTGGTAATATAGTTACCATAGATGATAGCGTCGGTGGCTTAGTGGTTTAAACACTTGACTTGTAATCTACAGGTCTTGGGTTCGAATCTCGCTGTACCAATGTGATTTTCGAATTTTCATATGTACACAATTTACCCGACGTTCTTACGGTGAAGGAAAACATCGTGATGCCTGCACATATCGGTGAAGAAATTCAAAGATATGTGTGAAGTCAACCCGCAGTGGGCCAGCGTGGTTGACTATGGCCTAGTCATCCCTTGCTTAGTATAGTGAGCTGGTGACGATGATAGATTATATGTACAATGACGTAAATTAGCAGTGTTCCAGTTTGAAATATTTACCTTGTTTATTGCAAACAAACTCCTCTTACAAATAATTTGATATCAATTAGTGCAGAACGGATAACAAAAAGAAACTAGTCGAGTATTACTGACCGATTTCTTCTTGCAGACATTTATTAGCGTTGTATTCTTATCGCGTGTCATTTCAAAATGTACAAACGGCTATAGGTTTTAGGTGGAACACGAACAGTTTCCACATTGTACAAATGTTTTTCCATTTTAAAAATTACTAGCTGTTGCTCCACCTTTGCCAGCGTGAAATTAAAACATATAGCCTATATGAGTAACAAATAAAAAACCTTTCTAACGGTAAAAGAATTTTTAAAATCAGCCCAGTAGCTTTTGAGTTATTTCAATACATACAAAAATACAAATCTTTCCTCTTTGTAACATTACGAGCTGTTGCCCGCAACTTCGTCCGCGTGGTATTAGAAAACATACGAACTATATAAATTAAAAAAAGCTACGTATCCCTCGGGAACCGGACATTTCTCGGGGATGAAGCTTATCCCATGTGTACTCCAGACTTTGTTTTATATCTGTGCCAAATTTCAATAAGATATGTTGAACCGTTTCAGAATGATCGAGTAAACATTAAAAAACGAAATTAATGAATCCCACGGAAAACTTAACTATTCCCGGGATAAAAATTAGCCTATGTGTTCTTCCAGACTATGCTCTAAACCTGTGCCAAATTTCATGGAGATCCGTTCAGCCCTTTAGGCTACAAACGCTAACAAACATCCATCCATCCATCCATCTAAGCTTTCGCATTTATAATATTAGTAAGAGTATAGATAAAAGTAGCGTCGGTGGTTCAGTGGTTTGATCACTTGACTTGTAATCTACAGGTCTTGGGTTCGAATCCCGCCATGTACCAATGTGATTTTCGATTTTTCGAATTTATATATGTACATAATTTACCCGACGTTCTTACGGTGAAGGAAAACATCGTGATGCAACCTGCACATATCGGCGAAGAAATTCAAAGATATGTGTGAAGTCAACCAACCCGCACTTGGCCAGCGTGGTTGACTATGGCCTAGTCACCCCTTACTTAGGGTAGGCTCCGAGCCCCTTGGTGGGGACGTATAGTGAGCTGGTGATGATGATGATGATGATAGATAAAAGTAACTAATTAAGTACTTTCTTTCGGAATTCATACATTGAAGGAAATCTTGGCGTGCGCATGTGGTAAGGAAGTTAGAGAGTAGCCCCAGTGGTAGAGAAGGTAAGGAGTAAAAGGTTAGCATGTGCCTCTATGAGAGATGAATCCCATGTAACAACGTTAGTTATGAGTACACTGGTTGAGGTAGACATAGAAAGAGATGTATTGTGTGAAAGGTGAAAATTCTTAACAGTGGTAGTGCCCGCTTTAACATCTTAGCACGAATGGGTCGGCACGCCCGGTGTAATACCACGACCACACAGAAGACAGGCGTGAAATGGAAGCAATTCCGTGTTTCGTCTGATGAGTGAGGTGCCGGAGGCCTAATTTAAGTCTCTTTTCTTTATCACCCTTTTCTCACAAGAAGAGGATGGAAAGGGGAAGTGGATTTGACGGTAGAGGATATGCATAGGAAGGGGAAATATCCTCTTTATTTGCGTCTCCTCTTCCGTCGGATAAGGGTAGGCAACGCATCTGCAATTGCGGATGTCTATGGGCAGCGGTCGCTTCGCCATTTTGGCGGATTCAAGTGGCCGCTTGCTCGTTTGCCACCTTGTTATAAAAAAAAGGAGCAGGGAGTGACTGAGATGACAGATAGAGTTATGTGGAGAACAAAACTTTGTGTTTATAGCAGCGGTGAGTGTTGACTACCAGTGACGTAAGGCATGCTCCAACCCTATTCACTATATATATAGAAATCGTTACAAATCTTATATACAATACTTTTTTCTATATGTCTCTATGTAAACAATTTAAAACCAAACTATGAACTAGTCGGCTTCAGTTTGTCTTTTGTTTTTATTGTATCAACTCAGAGCGAAAATGCACTGGACAATTTTCTACTTCTGCGTACCTGTATTGTGCTGTGCTGCCGTGAATATGAAGGCTTTGACGGAGTCTATGGGACAGGAAGTTATAGAAATGGATGCACCTATTAAAGGTAAGATAGACTAGGTTTTTTAAGATTCATCAAATAGTTGAAGCTTGCGACTTCCAAAAAATATAACTAGTAAGTTTTTTTTATGTCATAAGGTGGCAAACGAGCAAGCGGCCACGTGAATCCGCCAAAATGGCGAAGCGTCCGCTGCCCATAGACATTCGCAATTGCAGATGCGTTGCCTACCCTTATACGACGGAAGAGGAGACGCACATAAAGAGGATATTTCCCCTTCCTATGCATCTCCTCCACCGACAAATCCACTTCCTCTTCCCAACCTCTCCTTATAAGAAAAGGGTGGTAAAGAGAAAGGGACTTAAATTAGGCCTCCGGCACCACACTCAACAAACGCAACACGGAATTGTTTCTATTTCACGCCTGTCTTCTATGTGGTCGTGGTATTACACCGGGCGTGCCGGCCCTGCAGTGCTAAGATGTTAAAGCGGGCACTACCACTGTTCCTTCGAGTTCCTAAGTATCCTTCGGGAAGCTTTTTCCGGGGATTAATATCTCATGTGTTACTGCAGACTTTGTTTAATATCTGTGATAAAAAAGTTATATCAAACGGTTACAGAAATCATAAATAGTTAAACATGAAAAAACTAAATAACATCTCACGGGAATTGTAACTATTTCCAGGATCAAAAGTATCCTGTTTAGACTATCCTCTACATATATGACAGTCATCAAGATGCGTTCAGCAGTTTAGGCCACAAACTTTAAAAAACACCCCTTTCTTATTTATAATACTAGCTTTCGCCCGCGACTCCGTCCGCGTGGAGTAATAAAAACAAAAAGCCTATGTGTTCTTCCAGACTATCCTCTACATCTATACCAAGTTTCATCCAAATCCGTTAAGCCGTTTCGGCCACAAACTATAACAAACATCCATCCATCTAAACTTTCGCATTTATAATATTAGTCTGATAGTCAAATTTCTGTAGACAAATCATCTAATATTACAAGGTAGATAAGATCTTTCTCCTTCTAGAATTACCACCAGAAATAGAAGAAGAACCTTCAGCAGAGAACGAGGCAGATGTGAAATCTGCAACAACAATATCTACAACTAAAAGTTCTACGGTCAGTGATATTTTTATTCCTAAAGCACTCCATAGACGTTAAATATTGACTGAAAGGTAAAATTGTGCGTGTATAGACGGCTACACACCCATCTCCAACCTTATCTGGGAAATATTACAGCTAAATATATAACAATCACTTCTAAAATAATGCTGGTAACGTAAACAACCCATCAAACTCCGCACCTATTACCGACCTATTTAGAAAACTATAATTTATAAATAAAGTTACACAAGTGGTTGTTTTGGAGAAAATGTAACTAAATTTAATTAGGTAAACGGTAAAAGCCGATTATTTAAGAGTTTGTTTAGGTAGAAATAAAGATAATTTCTTATTAGGGCCGTGCGAAATTGACGCGAATGTCAGGTTAATAAAAATTAAAAATAACAATGAAATTCTTTTAAACGTAGGTAAAAGAAACCAAACGCAGAATGAAGGAGACAGAAAAACCTAGAAGTAACCAGGAGGAGGAGGAAGCAAGAATAGAAAAGGAATTGTCTGATCTCTACAAGGACTCTTCAGGTATGTCATATTAAGAGCGTAGGCACACCGTTGACAAAACAATCGCACAATTGTTAAGCGACTGTCGATTGTTTTGCAACCAACTGTTTACCATAACTAAACATCGAGTAGTGTACCACCATAAGCTAGGAATCAAAGAGAGACTAAACAGTTTTGCAATAGTTTAGTCAAAGGCGTCTTAGAGACGAAAGATTTAATAATAGATAACAGTGGTAGTGCCCGATTTAACATCTTAGCACTGCAGGGCACGCCCGGTGTAATACCACGACCACACAAACAGGCGTGAAATGGAAGCAATTCCGTGTTTCGTCTGATGAGTGTGCCGGAGGCCTTATTTAAGTCCCTTTCTCTTTACCACCCTCTTCTTATAAGGAGGATGGGAAGGGAAAGTGGATTTGACGGTAGAGGAGATGCATAGGAAAGGGAAATATCCTCTTTATGTGCATCTCCTCCTCCGTCGGATAAGGGTAGGCAACGCATCTGCAATTGCAGATGTCAATGGGCAGCGGTCGCTTCGCCATTTTGGCGGATTCAGGTGGCCGCTTGCTTGTTTGCCACCTTATGATATAAAAAAAATCCACTTGGCTTGTCTTCTGTGTACTTGCAAAGTTGAAGAGAACTCTACTATTAAATTTGTCTATTAATCGGGTTTTACTTGTTTTTATTTACAATAAATTTTAGATTACAAAGCGGACAGTGCAGAGGTAACAAATGACACACAAAGAATACCGCAGACCAGCACGGTGGGGCAGAACGGGACAGAAGATGATGCATTAAAGCCGGTTGCGAGAGCGAGAGAGGAGTAAGATAAATAAGACAGTATATTGAGAAATAAATTGGGAAACCAGCGCATTCGTTCCTCCTGCATACGCTGAGCTTGCTAACTGTTGCCTATATTTTATTGTATTTATAACTAGCTGTTACCCTGCGACTTCATCCGTATATGAAAACTTTATTTTATTGTTTACATGTGTCAAATCAATTGCAAATGGTAACAGTGGTAGAGCCCGCTTTAACATCTTCGCACGAATGGGCCGGCTCGCCCGGTGTAATACCACGACCACACAGAAAACAGGCGTGAAGTGGAAGCAATTCCGCGTTTCGACTGATGAGTGTGGTGCCGGAGGCCTAATTTTTGTTCCTTTTCCTTTCCACCCTTTTCTTAGAGGAAGGATGGGAAGGAAAAGTGGATTTGGCGGCGGAAGAGATGCATAGGAAGGGGAAATTACCTCTTTATGTGCGTCTCCTCCTCCGTCAATGAAGGGTAGGCAACGCATCTGCAATTGTGGATGTTTATAGGCAGCGGTCGCTTTCCATTTCGGTGGATTCAGGTGGCCGCTTGCTCCTGTGCCACCTTATATTATGTAAAAAAATGTCAAAATACCAATTACTTTACTATGGAAATTTTGCTTTCTTGATGTTGGCAGCAACTTATAGTCTCTTTCCCACATTAGGGTTTTTATCCAAAATATTTACCCCCTAAGTTTAATAGCGTGAAAATATCTAGCCTAAAGCGTGACGTAAGTGTACGGCCTTTTATTAAAAAAACACGCTGTGGTAGCAGCCAAAACGGATGTCGGCTGTGGAAAACTATTTGTAAGCCAGCTGAAATGTTGGCACAACAGATCAGTGTTGCCATTTCAGAAAAAAAATACATCGCGTTTGCTTAATTTTGGAGGTAAATTCAGCACTACCTGGCATGTATACCCTAGCCTTATCTATTCTTTCCTTGTTCCAGCTTCAAATTCCAGCCTGATACCAACAATAAAGCTGACGTGGAACGATTCAGAACTTCTATTGACGTCATCAGTTGCGATAAACAGAGGCTTACTGGAGCCCCTGTAGTAAGTACAATAGCGGACATCCGCGGTGTGCCTTTTAAAAAAAATGCCTTATAAAAACGAGATAAACTCTGCGTTTCAACAATAATGTAGATAGCAGTGAATGTGAATGAATATACGAAATGAATATATTAGAGGAAGTTTGAGAGTAGCCACAATAGTAGAGAAGGTAAGGTGTAAAAGGTTAGCATGGGGGCATGTTATGAGGAGGGAATCGCATGTTACAAGGAGAATGTTATGAATGTGGTACACCGTTAGAGGTAGATCTAGAAAGAGATGATTGTGGAACGGTCTGTCCTCAGCGGTATTTCTAAACCAATACGACTTAGGGTCCTTCAAGAAGCGAGCCTATCATTTCCTCAAAGGCACCGCATCTGTAGTTCCTCTGATCTGGCGGATGTCTATGCGTCGTTGACCACCTTTGTGTTTCCGCCGCTCGTTAGCTGCCATCTCATAAAGAAAAGGTGACATGATCAAGAAGGGACTGACTGAGATGACGTATGATAGAGTTATTTGGCGGACCAAAACCTGTAGCGCTACGATAGTAGAATAAGGAGAAAGATAAAGATGATGCTTCGAGAGCAAATGAAGGGATAATAAATAGACACTAGTCGTGTTTTAACCGACTTTTTTCGTACAGAAGTATGTAATAACTGCGTTGTTTTGTTTGCGATTGTCGATTGTTTTGCAGCATTCAACTGTTTAGTTGCACTGAAAATCGAGTCGTCTGACCTCCATATACGCTAGGAATCAAAGCGACTAAACCGTTTTGCGATAGTTTAATCCAAGGTTCTAAATCTGTATTCTAAACCATAAATAACTTTGTGTTTTCAGACAATAACACCACTCTCATCCGTCGGTCATCAAATATTACCCAATACTGTATTAGTTATCTTTTTAAAGAACGTTCTGTACTTCTAATTTTTATATAAATTAAACAAAATTATTTGTGAAATTATTATAATAAACGTATTTCGATTACATTTGAATTTTTCCTTTGCTAATTACCATTATTTTTTTTTATAATATAAGGTGGCAAACGAGCAAGCGGCCTGAATCCACCAAATTGGAAAGCGACCGCCTATAAACATCCGCAATGGGGATGTTTCCTAATGTTACAAATTCAAAAAAAGTTTAATATTTTAAAGACAGTATTTTAAAACCTATAATAACATTTGGAGACCTTAAATGTTTGTCTCCATTGAAATATAAATTAAAAACGCTGCAATATTTTTTACCCTCCATTACTCTATCTCAAACACCAATCAGAGCTCGGTGACGTAGCTTCTTCGCAAACAACATGGCAGTGTGACCAGCTTCAGTGAATGTCACTTTTTTTTTTTTTTTTTTTTTTTCACGCTGGGAAAATGCCTTTACGCATCCCCCCCGTTGCCAGGGGGGTATGTGGGACTCGCCGGCCAGAAGATGGAAGATGGCCGGAATACCCACTAAAAACCCAGCGGTGTTCCTTCGTTCGCCTGCGGCTGGGTCACGGGAACGCTTATGCAAACTTCCGCGACCCAGCCGGCTCAGTGAATGTCACTGCATTTTGTAGTTATAATTTTTTTTAATGATTATAATAATTGAGTTTGCGTGTGTTATATTATGAGGACTCTATTATTAAGTGTTTTTAGATTTACGACATATTTTTCGATCACTATGACGAAAAAAAAAAATAGTAAAAGTTATTTGAATAGCTAATTCAATTTACGTCTGGTCACTTTGAATGACTTTGACAGACCGCGACGCGAGGTTTGTTAGCAAAGAAGTGACGTCATGTCATGAGGCGTTTTCGCGGTCTTTGAAGAAGTTGTTTTTAGTTAAGTGTTTTTGTAATGAAATGTTGCGTATATGATTTTATTATATTTTTTTTTTTCTTGTTTAGATATGGTTTATCTACATAATAAAAGCAATTCCAAAAATTAGGAAACATCCCCATTGCAGATGCTTTGCCTACCTTTCATTGACGGAGGAGAAGACGCACATAAAAAGGACATTTCTCCACCGTCAAATCCACTTTTCCTTCCCATTATTTCCTCTTAAGAAAAGGGTGGAAAGGGAAAGCGGCTAAAATTAGGCCTCCGGCACCACACTCACCAGACGAAGACAGAATTGCATCCACTTGACGCCTGTCTGTGGTCGTGGTATTACACCGGGCGAGCCCTGCAGTGCTAAGATGTTTAAGCGGGCTCTACCCCTGTTCCACCACATTATATTCCCCATTCGGTGCTTGGAATCTACTCTAAGAGCGCTCGCACACCTTTGGCAAAACAATCGCACAACTGTTGTGATTGTCGATTATTTCGCAGTTAACTGTTTATAGTGTGTCTAAATAATTTAGATTAGTTTGACAATTCACTTCAAATTTAATAGGGATGGGTTGTGTAAAATCAGTCATGAATCATATCGATTTTCGATTTTTTTTCTTACAGAAGTTGGAATCGATAGATTTATAGTTATAACTTATGAATTTTAAAAAAACACTGCTTTCTCAAATTAATAATGACCAATACAAATAATGAGAGTAAATAAGTGTTTATTACTACTACAGCTGTACGTAATCGAATTGGATTTCGCTATTATTTCTGTCAGCGCTAAATTCTCTACACTATAAACAATAGTAGAATTGTCCTATAAATTAGTTAATAAAAAAATAATAATTTTATTTGAGTTCGATAATTATTTAAACCGAATATCGATAGTTCATAATTGTTCGCTGCGTGTTTCACTACGATACCTGTCTATTGTATACGGCATTTGCCTTCATACAAATTGAATTCGATACTTCATATGTGTCATTTATCAAACTAATCTATCTTATTTAGACAAACTATAGCACAACTAAACATTAAGTAGTGTGTCCAATAAGATAAAAGGAATCAAAGCGATAGTAAACAGCACGATAGTATAGTTTAGTGTCCGCTTTAACATCTTAGCACTGCAGGGCCGGCACGCCCGGTGTAATACCACGACCACACAGAAAACAGGCGTGAAATGGAAGCAATTCCGTGTTTCGTCTGATGAGTGTGGCGCCGGAGGCCTAATTTAAGTCCCTTTTCCTTTCCACCCTTTTCTTAAGAGGAAAAAGTGGATTTGACGGTGGAGGAGATTCACAGGAAGGGGAAATGTCCTCTTTATGTGCGTCTCCTCCTCCGTCAATAAGGGTAGGCAACGCATCTGCAATTGCGGATGTCTATGGGCAGCGGTCCCTTCGCCATTTTGGCGGATTCAGGTGGCCGCTTGCTCGTTTGCCACCTTTTGTTATAAAAAAATACGTGACGTATTTATTTTACTAACTTACGATATTAATGTATTTCTCATATCATATTTTATTATTACATTTTATTACACTATTATCATTATTCTAGGTATCTGTAGATCCATCAATATACTTTCCCAGTAAACCTAATTTTAATTTGATTATAATTTGTTTTATTTGAATATGACAATTTATTACTAACTATCTGATGTCCATGACTTCGTCCGCGTGATATTAAAATACAATAAAAAATCATATGTTACTCACTGATAAATTACCTTTCTAATGGTGAAAAATTTTTTGACACCGAAGTAGTTTTTTTTTTAATCGAATACATACATAAATACATAAATACAAATCTTTCTTCTTTATACTATTACAATAGATGATTTTTTAATGCCGGAGTTTAGAAATACGCTTTTTATTAATAGTTCCTGAACATAGTAATAAACAAATATAGCCTATGTTACGAAATGATGGGGACATAAACCAGAAAGTGTTAAGTTTGAATGTGGGCTACAAAGGAAGAGGAAGACCGAAGAAAGTATGGATGGAGTGTGTGAAAGAGGATATGCTTAAGAAAGGAGTGGATACAGATATGGCTGATAGAGATGTATGGAGCAGCACATACTGTGCCTACCCTCCATAAGGGATAAGGGCAAGTGGAGCCTATGTTACGCACACATAAATTACCTTTCTTATGGTGAAAGAATTTTTAAAAACTTCCCAGTAATTTTTGAGTTATTTCAATACATACAAGAATATAACTAATGCGAAAGTTTAGATGGATGTTTGTAAGAGTTTGTAGCCTAAACTGGTGAACGGATTTCGATGAAATTTGGTACAGATGTAGAGGGTAGTCTGGAACATATACTCACTTTTCTTTTTAATTCCACGCGAACGGAGTCACGAGTAAAAGCTAGTAGAATTATATCTCTAAAAGATATTCTGTACGATCAATAGTTATTGAGTTTTTTCCCTTATCTTATTTACCTGATAAGATATGATTCATGTTGATAACTTACCCGCTTGTGTTTAGTCATATTTCGAGCTGTGCGTTATTTTCTTCCATTTTTATTTAATTTTAATTTTATTATTATAAAATGGATCATCCTGCATTTGCTGAAGCGGGCAATGGGCCTGGTATTGAAGTGTGGACTATTGAGGTTAGTTTTTTTAAGTACTAGCTGTTCCCGTGCGGCTTCATCCGCATGAAATTATAAAAAAAACTTACTTTATTGTATACATGTATTATATTATCAATTGCAAATGTCAAAATGACATGACATGATGACAACCTTGCTTCCTTGATGTTGGCAGCAACTTATGGTCTCTTTCCCACATTAGGGTTTTAATCCAAAATATTTACCGCCTAAGTTTAATGGCGTTAAAATACATAGCCTAAAGCGTGACGTAAACTTGGGGCTTTTTATTAAACAAATAGTTATTCAAAAATATGGTGTAATTGCTGACATCTTAGGCAACAAAGAAGTGTGTGTTTACGCTTTATTATAATAGTATAGATATAGATTTCTATAAAGAAATTATTGAAATATCTGTTTTATTATGGAGGAAAATTGAATACAATCTGCACATTAATGACAGGACGCAGAATAGTGTTCGCTAATCTTACTAATATTATAAACTAGATTTCGCCCGCGTCTCCGTCCGCGTGGAATTAAAAAACAAAACTGGTAGCTTATGTGTTCTTCCAGACTGTCCTCTACATCTATACCAAATTTCATCGAAATCCGTTCAGCAGTTTAGGCTACAAACTCTAACAAACATCCATCTAAACTTTCGCATTTATAATATTAGTATGATGTGAAGTTTAGATGGATGTTTGTTAAAGTTTGTAGCCTAAACGGCTGAACGGATTTCAATGAAATTTGGTATAGATGTAGAGGACAGTCTGGAAGAACACATAGGCTCCTTTTTTAATTCTACGCAAATACATTCGCGAACGAAAGCCAGTACCTAATAATCTACAAGTCAGGTTTATCCACACAACACTGGCAAGAAATTCTCAATCAAAAAATTACATTTTATCTTTGACTAAAGTATCGCACGACTGTTGTGATTGTCGATTGTTACACAGTCAACTGTTTTGCATAACTAATCGAGTAGTGTACCTCCATATAAGGTCATAGGAATCAAAGCGAAACTAAGTCGTGCGATGGTTGAGTCAAAGGTGGTAGCATGCTCTTACTGTTCTCTGTGTTCCAGCAATTCGAACCTGTGCCAGTCGAGAAGAAAATGTATGGAAAATTCTTCAATGGTGATTCATACATTATTTTAAAGGTAAGTTACATTAAGTAACTAAGTAAGAATTAGTATAGTGTCTACATAATTGAAATTAGTTTGACAATTCTTTTGAAATTCAGTAGGGATGGGTTGTGTAAATTCAGTCATGAATCTTATCGATTTTCGATTTTTATTCTTATAGAAGTTGAAATCGATAGATTTATAGTTATAACTTACGAATTAAAAAAAACACTTTACTCAAATTAATAATGACCATTACAAATAATGAGAGTAAATAAATGTTTACTACTACAGCCGTACGTAATCGAATTTGATTTTGCTATTATTTCTGTCATCGCTAAATTCTCTACACTGTAATCAATACTAGAATTGTCCTATAAATTAGTTAATAAGAAAATAACAATTTTAGTTAAGTTCGATAATTATTTAAACCGAATATCGATAGTTCGTAATTGTTCGCTGCGTGTTTCGTCACAATACCTGTCTATTAAGTACGGCATTTGCCTTCATACAAATCGAATTCGATACTTCATGTGTCATTTATCAAACTAATCTATCTTATTTAGACAAACTATAAGATGTTTCAAGAGAAGTGTGGACTATATTCTCTATATAATTTTTAAATATCTTTGTGATATATTTTTCTCCCGACTTCGCACAGATTAAAAAATACATTTTTTTTTATAACATAAGGTGGCAAATGAGCAAGCGGCCACTTGAATCCGCCAAAATGGCGAAGCGACCGCTGCCCATAGACATCCGCAATTGCAGATGCGTTGCCTACCCTTATACGACGGAGGAGACGCACATAAAGAGGATATTTCCCCTTTCTATGCATCTCCTCCACCGTCAAATCCACTTCCCCTTCCCATCCTCTACTTATAAGAAAAGGGTGATAAAGAGAAAGGGACTTAAATTAGGCCTCCGGCACCACACTCATAAGACGGAACACGGAATTGCCATTTCACGCCTGTCTTCTGTGTGGTCGTGGTATTACACCGGGCGTGCCAGCCCTGCAGTGCTAAGATGTTAAAGCGGGCACTACCACTGTTTAAAATGTATATAATATATAATGGTATAACATTTATTGTGTAATCAATTTCAGACAACGGGCGAAGACACGCTATCCTATAATGCCCACTTCTGGCTCGGCAGCCAAACTACACAGGACAAGAAGGGTTCCGCCGCAATATGGACGGTCACATTAGACGACATGCTGGGAGGTAAAGCCGTACACCACCGGGAGGTTCAGGGTCACGAGTCCAGTCAATTCCTAGGATACTTTCAACCAGGTCAGGACCTTGATAAGATAAGCTTTAAGAGTAACTAAGCTTCGATTCGTAAGAGCTTTTTTGTCCAACTAAACAGTTGAAGGCTGCAAAACAATCGACAATCAGTGAGTAACATAGCCTATTTTTTTTTACACAATAAGGAGGCAAACGAACAAGTGGCCACTTGAATCCGCTGGAATGGTGAAGTACCTGTGCCATAGACATCCGCAATTGCAGATGCGTTGCCTACCCTTCATTGACGGAGGAGACGCAAATAAAGAGGATGTTTCCCCTTCCTATGCGTCTCCACTGTTAAATCCACGTTCCTATCCTACCCTTTTCTTAAAGTTTAGAACGGGAAAGGGACTAAAATTGGGACTGAAAATATGTCTTTTTAACTTTTTAATATCACGCGGGCGAAGTCACGAGCAACAGTTAATAAAATCGATTATTAAACAAAATTCCTTTTTTTAATTTTTAATCCAACCTATTGTAGCTATCCGTTATTTGGAAGGAGGTAATGAATCCGGTTTTAACAATGTGGAGACAAACGCGGGAGCAGAAAAAAGGCTGTTGAGGCTCTCTGGATGTGACAACATGAGGATTGAAGAGGTATTTTTTTCAATCTTACTAATATAATTGTGAAAGTTTAGATGGATGGATGTTTGTTAGAGTTTGTAGCCTAAACGGTTGAACGGATTTCGATAAAATTTCGCATGGATGTAGAAAATAATCTGGAAGAACACATAGGCTACTCAGTTTTGTTTTTTTTTTTAACTCAAGCGCGAACGGAGTTATGGGCGATAGCTAAGTAAAAGAATAAATAAATTTATCTTTCTAAAGTGGAAACTAGTAAAGAAATATCGAGTAAACATGAAATAATAACATTAATATCCCACGAGAACTTAACTATTTTTGGGATCAAAGTAGTCTGCGATAATCCAAGCTATCCTCTACGTCGGTCAAATTTTATCGAGATTCTTTGAACAGTGTTAGCGGCAAACTCTAACAAGCATCTACTTATCTTACTTCTTACTGATATTATAAATGCGAAAGTTTAAATGGATTTTTGAATTTGTAGCCTAAACTGCTAAACGGATCTCAATGAAATTTGGCATAGACTTAGAGCATAGTCTGGAAGAACACATAGGCTACTTCATTTGTTTTTTTATTTCACGCAGCAGTAGTCCTGGGCCAAAGCTAATACTTATCGTGAATATTATAAAGAGAAAAGATTTATATTTTCGTATATATTGAAATAACTCAAAAACTACTGGGGTATTTTCAAAAAATCTTTCACCATTAAAAAGCTACGTTATCAGTGAATAACATAGGATATAAACCAATGAAAAAAAACCATTCAGGTACCAGCAGAATCAACATCTTTGTCAAAAGACCACTGTTTCATATTGGAAGTGGATCATGACATCTTCGTATTAATGCCTGAAGGTGCTAAAGCAACTCAGAGACGGAAGATAATCAGCGTTGCGAACACTTTACGTGATGATTACCATAATGGAAGAGCTACCATTGAAATTATTGGTGAGTTACTTGGAACAGAAGCCACAGTTAGAGCACAACTTTGACTGAACTATCGCTTTGATTCCTATAATCTTATATGTACACTGTAGTTTGTCTAAATAAGATAGATTAGTTTGACAATTCATGTCAATTGTTGTGACAATTGACAGCTGTCAATGTCACTAGAAGTATGGATAGATTGGCGCGTAACTTGAGTCTTGACGAGAAGTATTGCTCTGAGTTAAAAGCGACAGTATCAATTAAATAAGTTATCTAAGAATATATAACTTATAAATTAAAAAAAACACTGTTTATTCAAATAAATAATACCCTGCAGAACTAATACAAATAATGAGAGTAAATAAATGTTTATTACTACTACAGCCGTACGTAATCGAATTGGATTTCGCTAATATTTCTGTCATCGCTAAATTCTCTACACTATAAACAATACTAGAATTGTCCTCTAAATTAGTTAATAAGAAAATATTTAACTTTATTTGATTTCGATAATTATTTAAACCGAACATCGATAGTTCAAAATTGCCGCGTGTTTGTTTCACCACGATACCTGTCTATTAAGTACGACATTTGCCTTCATACAAATTTAATTCGATACTTCAAATGCGTCATTTATCAAACTAATCTATCTTATTTAGACAAACTATAGTTGTGTAACTAAACAGTTGGAGGCTGCGAAACAATAGACAATCAACAGTCGTGCGATAGTTCAGTCAAAGATGTGCCCACACTCTTAATATAGGCAACGTACTTGTTTCTTTTCGCAGTCTTATTGTTTGATTTCTTTCCTAGATGATTTCTCATCAGACGAGGATATTGCATTGTTCTATGAAGCTTTAGGATCTGGTTCTAAAGATGATCTGGTGGAAGCGGAAACTACAGCCCAGGTATTTCCTTATTAGATAACAGAGCCCTCTTTAACATCTTCGCACGCATCTCGCCCCCAATACTACGACCACACAGACAGGCGTGAAGTGGAAGCAATTCCGTGTATAGTCTGATGAGTGTCGTGCCGGAGGTCTGATTTCAGCCCCTTTTCCTTTAAACTATTATCTTAAGAGGAAAAGATGGGAAGGGAAATACTTGACGGTGGCGGAGACACATAGGAAGAGGAAATGTCCTCTTTATGTGCGTCTCCTCTGTCAATGAAGGGTAGGCAACGCATCAGCAATTGCGAATTATGGGCAGCGGTAGTTTCGCTATTTAGGTGGATTCAGGTAGCCACTTTGACAGACAAAATGATTGTTACCATGGTAACCTTCTCGTTACGAATGTTGCCGGAATTGCGTGTGCCATCTGTGAGAAATTTGAAATAATTTTTTTTAACCGAGATCTTTATCTTCTAGACTTACACCAGAGAAGATATGACAGCTGTCTACCTCTACCGAGTTCTGACTGGAGAAGATGAACTAGATTTGGTATCACTAAGCAAGCCTTACAAGCAGAGGCAATTGTCTTCTGGCGTAAGTAGATTCGATCGAAAAACTATCGTGTACCTATCTTGTCCTACTCCCATGGGGTAAAAAAATCTCTGTAAAACTTTACGGATGAAACTTTTTCATCCGTTGTCATGTGGAGACAGAGCGGGGTGACGGTTGTGTATAATACCTAAAAAGACCAGGCTTCTACACTATGAAAGGCTTTTAATTATCCGTCTCCTTCCTAGGAGGTCTATATTCTAGACACACCTTGCTCTGGAGTCTACATCTGGCTAGGTAAAGAACTAGACGAGGATATAAAGAAGAACTATAACGATATAGCACAGAAATACCTGGATATGAAGGAATATCCTTCTTGGGTATGTTATTTTAAATTTTTACTTCTTACTATACTTACTTTTGGATAATTATTTTTTTTAATAAAAGCCCTACACTTACGTCACGCTTTAGGCTATATATTTTCACGCTATTAAACTTAGGAGGTAAATATTTTGGATAAAAACCCTAATGTGGGAAAGAGACCATAAGTTGCTGCCAACATCAAGGAAGCAAGGTTGTCATCATGTCATGTCATCTTGACATTTGTTATTGATAATTTGACAAATGTAAGCAATAAAATAAACTTTTTATAATTTCATGCGGGTGAAGCCGCATGGGAACAGCTAGTGTCGTAATACGAAAAGACACTAAAATTCACAACTGATGTAGTACCTTTTAAAGAAGTTACCAGTGAAAAAAATTTTTCTTTTATCTTACTAATATTATAAATGCGAAAGTTTAGATGGATGGATGGATGGATGGATGGATGGATGGATGGATAGATAGATGTTTGTTAGCGTTTGTAGCCTAAACGGCTGAACGGATCTCCATGAAATTTGGCACAGGTTTAGAGCATAGTCTGAAGTACACACGGGATAAGCTTCATCCCCGAGAAATGTCCGGGTCCCGAGGGATACGTAGCTTTTTGTAATTTATATAGTTCGTATGTTTTCTAATACCACGCGGACAACAGCTCGTCATATATATATCTATGTAAATTAACTAGATAATTCTATTTACTTTTTATTCAGGTCCACGTTACCAGGGTAGCAGAAGGCAATGAGAGCTGTACTTTCAAACAGTACTTCCATAACTGGGAGACTGTTGGCACTACAAACTCACGTATGGTCTCCGATTCAGGTAAGAGCGTGATAGTTATACGATTTTATATTAGAAAGAGAAAGGTTGACTCGATGTATGACTGAGACCGTAATTTGATATATTAGAAAGAGATGGATAATGTACTGACAGCTTAATTGTATTTACGTTTTACTAGCTGTTGTCCGCGACTTCGTCCGCGTGGTATTAGAAAACATACGAACTATAAAAATAACAAAAAGCTACGTATCCCGGGAACCGGACATTTCTCGGGGATGAACCTTACCCCATGTGTACTCCAGACTTTGTTTTATATCTGTGCCAAATTTCAATAAGATATGTTGAACTTGCAGAATGATCGAGTAAACATTATAAAACTAAATTAATTAATCCCACAGGAACCGTAACTTGTCCTGGGATAAAAAGTAACATATCTGTTCTTCCAGACTATCCTCTACATCTATGCCAAATTTTATCAAGATCCCTTCAGCCGTTTAGGCTACAAACTCTAACAAACATCCATCTAAACTTTCGCATTTATAATACTAGTAAGATAGATCTCACAGTGGTAGTGCCCGCTTTAACATCTTAGCACTGCAGGGCACGCCCCCAGTAATACCACGACCACACAGAAGACAGGCGTCAAATGGAAGCAATTCCGTGTTTCGTCTGATGAGTGTGGTGCCGGAGTCCTAATTTAAGTCCCTTTCTCTTTATCACCCTTTTCTTATAAGGAGAGGATGGGAAGGGAAAGTGGATTTGACGGTGGAGGAGATGCATAGGAAGGGGAAATATCCTCTTTATGTGCGACTCCTCCTCCGTCGTATAAGGGTAGGCAACGCATCTGCAATTGCGGATGTCTATGGGCAGCGGTCGCTTCGACATTTTGGCGGATTCAAGTGGCCGCTTGCTCGTTTGCCACCTTTTGTTATAAAAAAAAAAGATAGATATAGATTATTCTTTAATATAGATGCAGGCTATTTCTCTGGAGACGCTGAGGAGTCTACTGCTGTTGGTAAACTGATAGGAAAGAGTGCATCAGCGAGGGGATATATGCCTGATAGTGGTGAAGGAACTTACAGTATCATTCGGTAAGTCAAAAGCTGGGTTACGGCAGCGAAGGGGCAACCACCCAAGACGCTAAGTATAAAGGGGCGTATGTAAATATCTCGATAGAATGTGTACAGAGGAAGTTTGAAAGTAGCGCCAGTGGTGGAGAAATTGAGAAGCAAAAAGTTAGCGTTAACCAGAAAGTGTTAAGAATGAATGTGGATGGCTGCAAAGGAAAAGGAAGACAGAAAAAAGTATGGATGGATTGTGTGAAAGAGGATGTGTTTAAGAAAGGAGTGGATTCAGATATGACTGATAACGTATGGAAGAGCACATACTGTGCCGACCCTCCGTAAGGGATAAGGGCCAGTTGATGATGATATCTCGCCCAGGGTGCCAGTAATGCTTTTAAATAATTAATTGGTGTGTTAAGTACTTGAATTAGACCCTGGGCGTACCTCTAGACCTTGCTTTTAATACTCTAACTATTGATTATTGTCTCTTTGTATGTAAAATACTTTTGCAGCATATCTGGTGAAGAAGACATAACTGAACAGATAACAGAGAAGCCGGTGTTGTACGATAGCGATGTGTATGTAGTGAAGTATCAGTACGATGATAACGGTGATGATGCTTATGTAGTTTACGTTTGGATTGTAAGTAAATTTATCAAATTTAGAAATAATGTTTAATGTCAGAATATTTTATTGGCAATGCTTAAACATACATTTTTGCTATTATTTTTTTGCAGGCGCCTTACTTACTAGATAATCAATTAAAACTTTAATTTTAGATTGATAAAATACCAATTAAACCATGATTTTTCTCTTTTATACTAATTTGCAAGAAATTATGTTTAAATAAGTGTTTTACGATTCCTGCAGTTTGTAAAATATTTGTTCTAATTTTTAACAAAACAATATATTTTTAGGGAGCGAATGCAGACCCTTCAGATAAAGCTGCGGGTATAGAAATGGCTGCACAAATAGATATAGAAGAAGAAGCCAATGTTAATGTAGTAAAAGTACCGCACGGGAAAGAACCTAAGCATTTCTTGGCCATATTTAAAGGTAAAAAGATTATCTATACTAATATTATAAAGAAAAAAGACTTGTTTTGTATGTATTGAACTCAAAAACTACTGAGCCGATTTTAATATTTTCACCTAAAAGCTACGTTATCAGTAACATAAGCTACTATTATTATTGGACGAAGTCGCGAGAAATAACTAATTATTATTTAATTCTTTAAGATGTACAGACAACGGAAAGTACATATTTATATGTAGTTATTGATTTTTATTTGTTTGCAGGAAGTCTTGCTATTTTATATGGTAGTAAGGATGAAGAATATAATCCACAGAATTCAAAAAAATCTTACGAAGAAGATGGTGTCAGATTATTTAGGGTGAGTAACAGTAGCTATCTCTTTCACTCTCTCTGGAAAGAGAGAAATAAAACATACTTGTCAAATATGTTAGTTAAATTTAGTAAGAAAATTAATCTAACTTCCCATGGAGTGTAGATCACTGGCGCCAGTTAGCGACTATATCATGACAGTACGGTTTGATTACTATGCAACAGTACTGGCATAATGTGAACAGAACATTAACAATTTTCTCCATACATCGATAGGGTATAAGCTGTGGTATTTTGTGCCTATTTGATTTCCGCCATTTTGAAGTTTGACGTTGATAAAGATTATAACCACAGATCTGTTTAAATAGATAGGAAATTGCTCGCAAGTGACATTATTGCTTCGTTTCGACTTAAACGCACCTATTGATGTTAAATCAGGTTTCTCACTATTATTAGGCCGTATCGGCGCCAATATGGCGGAAATCAAGCAAGCACAAGCACAGAATACCACTTTTATTACCTGTTCATTTATTTACAAGTGTGAACTGATAATAGAAATACAATTAATTAGCTTTCACCCGTGACTTCGTCCACGTATAATTAAAAAAAAAAACAAAAGTAAGTAGCCTATGTTTTAGATTTAGCAGTTTAGGATACAAACAAACATCCATAACGGAACTCGATAATTGTCATACATGTAGAGGCTACGTTATGTTTCTTTTAATTCCACGCGGATGGACTCGCGGGCGAAAGCTAGCCTATAAAGGTGTAAAATGTTCCAGGTGGAAGGTACAGAATTAGAAGTGGACATGAGAACAGTGCAAGTGCCGGAAACAGCTGATGTTCTAGAAGATGATGATGTATTTGTTATGGAAACACTGGAGAAGATATACGTGTGGCATGGCAAGGTAAACTAGTAAATCTATACTACTATAAAGAAGAATGATTTGTATTTTTGTATGTATTGAAATAACACAAAAACCAGAGCAACATCAAAAATTCTTTCACCATTAAAAAGCTGCGCTATCACTGAGTAATATTTTTTAATTTGACGCGGGCGAAGTCGTGAGCAACAGCTAGTAGACATTGTTTAATACCGGATCCGTGACAGCGTAAGTGGAACAGGGGTTATGTGCTGCTAATACTTGGCGGCCATTTGGATATTTGGCTTTTTATTTATTTAAACCTATTGTAGATACTGAATTTCAGGAATCCCAAGAAACGGAACTAGAAGCGGCAAATAATTTCGTGCAAAAGGTTCTCGGAGAAGAAAAAGAACTGATTGTTCTGGAACAGGGAGAGGAAACTGATGATTTCTGGGAATTTTTAGGTAACCCTCTCATTCTTTTCTTATAAGAGAAAGATAGGAAAGGAAAGGAACACAAATTATTCCTCCGGCACACTCATCAGAGTGTACGCGGAATTGCTCCTACTTCACGCCTGTCTTCTGTGTGGTCGTGGTATTGCTGGCGAGCGTACAGTGCGAACATGTTAAAGGGTTTTCATCATCACCAGCTCACTATACATCCCCACCGAGAGGCTTGGAGCCTACCCTAATACGGGGTGACTAGGCCATAGTCAACCACGCTGGCCCACTGCGGGTTGGTTGACTTCACACATATCTTTGAATTTCTTCTCTGATATGTGCAGGCATCACGATGTTTTCCTTCACAGTAAGAACGTCGGCTAAATTATGTATGAAAATTTGAAAAATCGAAAATCACATTGGTACAGCGGGATTCGAACCCAAGACCTGTAGATTACAAGTCAAGTGTTCAAACCACTGAGCCACCAACGCTCCAGGGCTTTACCACTGTATAATACTATAGTGTATTTATTTTACATATAATATAATGCAGGCGTAGGGAAATGGGCTTATTCCATAGAAATTAATATGGTTGTATACTTATTTCATTGCAAATGTTATAAAGGCGGTGCACCAGAAGAAAAAGAGGATACATCAGGATGGAAGCTGACACTTAACCGACGTGTCACCACTCCGTCGAGTCTGACAGCTGTCACTGTCAGCCTGACAGGCAAGATTGACTTCGAGGAATTGCCACCGGAGTTCACGCAACAGGTTAGATTAAACACGTATTACGTATTACCCTTACTTGTACTAATATTATAAAGAGGATAGATTTGTATTTTTGCATGTATTGAAATAACTCAACAACTACTGGGCCGATTTCAAAAATTCTTTCACCATTAAAAAGTTACGTTATCACTCAGTAACATAGGCTATATTTTTTGTTATTATTAAATTGCACGCGGGTAAAGTCGCGAGCAACAGCTCACAACAATAGATGGGACATTACGATCCTAAAGTACGCAACTCACCTTACATTTTATCTGAAATGTCAAACTATGTACAGTTAAAACTAATGTAACTAAAATTTTAATTGCCAGTTTAACTAAAGTTCTCAGTTTTGCCCATACGCATCGTTTCGTTTCCAAAAAGGATGTCAATTGAGGTTATTTTTTCAGGATTTATCTGACGATGGAGTTTACATCTTAGATACAGGGGAAGAGCTTTACTTCTGGAAGGGTAAGAATATTCCAGAAAGAGTGAGAATGGCAAAGGATAGCATTATTGAGGTAATATTAACACCATAAACAAATAATTTTATAATGCTATTCAAATAAATACCATAAATATAATTAAAACAGAAATAAGTCGAATGTTAAACGGAAACTGTACATAATAAGAAAAAAAGGCTGATAATATCAAGAAAAGTTATTCAATGTGTCATTTCCAAGCAATCGCCTATCCATTTATACAGATCAGTGCCGTTGAGAGTGCTCAATGTCAATCTATGTTGCCATATGCAAATTATTATCATTATTCATTTGATAAGAACATAAAAATTAACTACATATAAATAATCTTACCCTTAATCTGGTACACTATACTTTTTATAATATGCTAAACTATTATAAAAACATTTTTTCTCACATAACTATAACCTCAAATACTCACATTTGACAACATTTTAAAATTTAACCTTCAGGGCATGTCCCACCAAATTGTAAATTGTCAAAACAATCAAATGTATAATGTAAAATATGTGATTGAATTAACGGATGTTGTAACCTTATGATAGTGACGTCATTTTTGGTGGGACGGTGGGACAGGGCCTTAACATTTAAAACTCACAATAGAAAAAGCGTTCAATATTTTAGGGTCTATCCCACCACTGGCTGATAGAAACTCAGATAGCTTAAAAACGTCACTGTCATAAGGGAACAAAACGATATTTTCATCACATATTTTACATGTTGGATTGTTATCAGACAATTTACAATTTGGTGGAACATGCCCTTAATGTTTTTTTTTAATTTCCTTTACTTGTCTTATTTTTTTTACCAGGAATACATATCTGACGATGGCCTAGACAGGACTGTGGATTCAGCTATCGTGGTCTCTGTGCGTCAAGGCAAAGAGCCTGCGGTATTCAAAAAGTTGTTCCCAGACTGGGATGATGATATGTGGGAGGTAAAAAACTATTCAAAACCATTTACTCTTTATTTTCATTAAACTAATATTAATTCTGAATTTAATACGTTAACAATTCTTTAAATAATCTTACATTTAGATTTAATTTCTTAATTAGTTTGTGATGTCTCTCCAAAACTATGCAAGCGATTTTGATAATTCTTTTACTAACCCAGATATAGGTTATGTTATTGCGAAATTTTTTAATTATGTATACTAATATTATTAAGAGGTAAGATTTATTTTGTATATTATAGTTTTGAATTTCCGTATGTATTGAAATAACCTAAAAACTCGACTGATTAAAAAAATTCTTAAACAATTAAAAAGCTATATTATCACTATGTAACTAAGCTTTATTTATACTATATTATTTCATTTAACGCGAGCGATATCATCGAACAACAGTTATAATACGATTTTTTCACACATTCACTAATTTCCCGCCAAAATAATTCACGGCGCTAGTATCTCCATATTGGCGTTAGTGTTGCAAATTACGTTTACAGTGGTAGTGCCCGCTTTAACATCTTAGCACTACAGGGCCGGCACGCCCCCAGTAATACCACGACCACACAGAAGACAGGCGTGAAATGGAAGCAATTCCGTGTTTCGTCTGATGAGTGTGGTGCCGGAGGCCTAATTTTAGTCCCTTTTTCACAAGAAGAGGATTGAAAGGGGAAGTGGATTTGACGGTGGAGGATATGCATAGGAAGGGGAAATATCCTCTTTATTTGCGTCTCCTCTTCCGTCGGATAAGGGTAGGCAACGCATCTGCAATTGCGGATGTCTATGGGCAGCAGTCGCTTCGCCATTTTGGCGGATTGAGGTGGCCGCTTGCTCGGTTGCCACCTTGTTATAAAAAAAATAAAAAAATGTTTTTTTTTTCAGAACCAAACATCTTACGAGGACATCAAAAACGAAACGAAGGCTGCAAACTCCAAATGAATACATATCTTTGATAATCTGTATATAAAGAAAATAATAAATAAAAAGCACTTTCTTTGATTTTTCGTAATATTTATTTATACAAATTTTATCTTAATTAAGTTTAAGAATAACCAGAGATAGAATCTCGACACATTTGAATAAATCATCGCACAACTTTGATGCGACAATTCAGTCTATCCAAAAACCGTGTTTGTTCCGAGTAATCTCGGAAACAGCTGGACCTATTTCTATCTGACTTTCACTGAAAGATAGCTGACATAAACGGGAACATAATAGGCTACTTTATCCTAACATCGCATCGACAAAATCGCGGGCAACAGGTAGCATATTATAAATTCTGTAATTTTTTATCTATGCTCCAGCGGCAACACATTGATTTATTATCTGTACTAAGTTGTTATTCTCTAACGCGGCTGCAACTCTCTCTTTGTCAGCCAGTTGTTTGTTCACCGCATGTTCCGAGACATGGGTACCTTCTGACACTTCCACAGTCACTTTAAATCGACTTGGTAACGCTCGGAGTAGCTGCACTCGGATAGACAGACCTGAAATGTAAACTTAGGGGTACATATTTTGGATACAAACCCTAATGTGGGAAAGAGACCATAAGTTGCTGCCAACATCAAGGAAACAAGGTCATCATGTCATGTCATTTTGACATTGGCTATTGATAATTTGACAAATGTAAACAATAAAATAAAATTTTCATAATTTCATGCGGATGAAGCTGCATGGGAACAGCTAGTGGTTAATACACAATATTTTACATACATATTCCATTTGTCATATCTACTGTGAATTTATGATAAAATCGATTTAGTTTACATGCCAAAAGAGACATAACCTACAAGCTAATAGCGAAAAATCAAGATCGCTGGTAATAGTAATTATTATCCTATAGCGAAGACCCACATTGTCATTTGAGTATTTGAATTTGGACATGTACAACTAAAAGTTTTTTTTTATATTGTAAGGTGGCAAACGAGCAAGCGGCCTGAATCCACCGAAATGGACCGCTGCACATAAACATTCGCAATTGCAGATGCGTTGCCTACCCTAATTGACGGAGGAGGAGACACACATAAAGAGGTCATTTCCCCTTCCTATGCATCTCCTCCACAGTCAAATCCACTTCCCCTTCCCAACCTCTCCTTATAAGAAAAGGGTGGTAGAGAAAGGGACTTAAATTAGGCATCCGGCACCACACTCATTAGACGAAACACGGAATTGATTCCATTTCACGCCTGTCTTCTGTGTGGTCGTGGTATTACAACGTTCGTGCCGGCCCTGCAGTGCTAAGATGTTAAAGCGGACACTACCACTGTTGTTTAACACCACTGTTGTTGTTTTATAGTAAATGTGCAATTAAGATTGTCTTACCAATCAATGTAGCCATACTGCAGTGAGGTATGGTAGGTGTAAAATGTACAAGGACTTCATTCTTCTTATTATCTACCGATATATTCTTTTCCTCAACAACTCGTAGCTCCTCCAGCGTTAAAGGATGTTCAGGGTCATTAATATTGCGAATTAAATCGAAAATTTCCCTCTCGTCAAAATCGTCTGTAATCTCTTCATTATGATCTGCGGAGGTTATTTCCCGTTCAGATTCTTTCTCGTACACGTTAGGGTTAACGTTATCCGCTACTTTCGTCATTTATTCGATGGTAAATAACTTTTTTCTTATAATATAACGATCTCCCAAGTGTTCGCAAAAACAAGACTTTTGACAGTTGACGTTTTCGTAAAATATTTTACGTTTTGAACGTTCGGTTTGTGTCATCGTTTCATTTATTTGAAAATGCAGATTTAAACATGAATTTTATTTTGTAATATATTTAATGAAGTTTTTTAATCAGAAATCACTAAAAATAAAATGATTAATAAATGGATTTCTTTTGGTTAACTAAAACTAAAAGTTTTTGAACGCATCTGTCAAATTTGCTTTTTGGGAGGCAATATGTACAGCCACGATAATGCACGGCCCAATAATCCGTGTACAAACAAAGAATTTTAGTACACGAATTATCGGGTCGTGTATTATTGGGTCGTGCATTATCGGTACGGGCCAATAATCCGTGTCCAATAAAAAGTGTGTACACGAACTATTGGGTCGTGCATTATTGGGTCGTACATTATCGGGCCGTACAAATAATGTACGGCCCCATAATGCACGACCCAATAATTGGAAGCCAATATAGCGGCATGAAACCTGTCAGAATCCCAACAGCCAATCACAACCGTGCAATTCTCTATGATTGTGCTTTGTTTACATCACTTGCCAATGGCTTAATTGGTCGAGTTCGTATACATTGCGCAAATTTTGAATTTCGAAATGTATAAGGGTTCAGACGTTTAATTGCTCTAACGTGGATTAATGAGACGAAGAATATGATAAGCAATTAAACTTTTAAATATAATAAATAGCGATCTCGCGATTTCTTCATTTCAATGTATCATTTTTAAAATTACGATTTTTTGTGGAGCTAGTTATATTCTAGTCAATTATGTCTTTAGTATTCCTCTTCTTATCCAAATATTTGTCTTCATACGTCGTCATCGGTGTATTTTCAATAAATAAATCAATACCATCTTTCATTATTTTTTTCTTGGAGTAGGGTTTTCACTTAGAATAGACCAGAATCCTTGTTGATCAGGGACATTATGGCTTTCTTACTAGAAACTTCACAACTGTAAAACAATTATTCAAATCAGTTCAGAAGTTTCTTAGCCTGTACAATGCAAAGGAACAAACCAATGAATCTATCTTCTTTATACTATAAATATATTAAATTTAGTAATTTTACGATTTCATTTTTTTGTTTTTATTTAATTAGGGGTATGGATGCCTAACTTTTTGTAAAAAAAATTAAAATGCGGTTACAGGACACCAACATCCATTCAAGCCTTTATACCCATTCTAGTAAACAACTATAGATAACAGGTTACTAGGTTCAGAAATTAAGAATTCATCAGGTGGCTCTTACCATTACATAAATTAGACTTTGGGAGAAATTTATAAGAGTAAGATCTTATTGTCTGGAACAGTTACTAACTATATCTTTGTTAAGTTGGAAACAGATCAATGTGTTGATGTAACATTGAGTCAAAGTCGTAGCATTTTAACGGTTAATAAAAAGAGAATTAATAAAATGATAATTTCAGTCTTTTACTTCTATATATAACAAATATTTGTATGGCACTTTTGAACAGGATATGCGTCATGGGAAACAAATCTTAAAAATCAATACCGCACCTCTCATGAATTATTTAATAAAGAAAGTATTCTTCGAAAAATTTTTAATAAATTAAGTTACAATTACAATAATCGAATACATAAATTATAGTAATTACCTATTTATTTTTTAAATATCTATATTATAATACAAAACTACATTTAACTATGTACTCGTAATCATAATAAAAAAAATTATACATCTGTAGTAGTTGGATGATTTTGGTACTATTCCTAGTATTAAATTTTACAATGTAACTTTACCTTATAACGAGGTAGTTAAAAACCTTGGTGTCTACTTTGACTTAACCCTCCATTGGTCTCACCACATCTCAGAGGTTGGTCGCAAGCTGTTTGCGGCCAACCTCTGAGGCATATCATACTTAACCGATGGAAAAATCTTCTTCCTGTGCAGACTAAAGTCGAACTTGCGCATTACTTACTCCCTATTCTTGACTAAACTACTTGCAGTTTCTACTACGGGTAGATAAGTTAAGTAAAATGTTTACATCAAGTAAAAAAATTGCATTAAACTTGTCTTATTAAAGCGGCGGTTGATGCTCAACAATTTGAATAAAAGAAAACTACATAAAATGCGATTAGAAGATTAATATTAAAGATTAATATACTCGAAAATCGCATATCGCGTTATGCAAATAGCGCATAGCGCATAGTGCATAGCGCATAGCGCATAACGCATATCGCTTATCGAAAACTC